TAACCTAGTTAAGCCTTTAAATGTCACTTTAAGCTGTATAGAAGTGTCTTGAAAAATATCTAGTCAAATATTATTTACTGTCATCATGATAAAGATAAAATAAATCAGTTATTAGAAATAGGTTTCTAAAACTATTATGCTTAGAAATGTGCTGAAACAATCTTCCCTCCATTAAACAGATATTTGGGAAAAAAATAAACAGGGGTGCAAATAATTCAGGAGGGCTAATAATTCGGACTTTAACTGTATATAGGTTAATGCTTAATGCAATAAGAACAGACCTATAGAACAGACCTAATAAATGGGATTGATAAAAAATATAATTTAGTAAGATTTACATGTATATTTATCCTCTACAGGACTTTGAACTTTTATTTATAAAAAATGGTTATAAAACATTTTTATTTACATCACATCTTCTATTTACTTAATAGCAGCCTGATTACAATTAATTATAAATAGTTGCATGAAATGAACCTTAATCTAATTCATATTCTAACCTTAATCACATATAAAGTACCATCTAGGACTATGAAATTAATTAATGTTAAAGCATAATAATACAGAAAAATAGAAATAAAGTTACATAAACCAAGCACACCATTGTTTTTCTTATGAATTTCCCAATAAGTTTAGTGTGTCAAATCACTCTCTTCCTACTGAAAAAACAAAAGTTGGATCCAAGATAGCCGACTTCAAAATGGCCACCATGGTCATCACCAGGGCCGGCGCGTCCATAGAGGCAACCTAGGCGGCCGCCTAGGGCGGCAGTATAGAGAGGGCGGCATCCGCGTCACCTCCCTTACCACCCGCGTCCTCAGTTATGTCCGCGGCACCTCCCTCACCACCCACGTCCTCAGATATATTCGCGCATAGATGCAAGAATAGAGAGGGCGGCGTCAGCGACACCTCCATCAGCACCCGCGTGTCCTCAGTTATATCCGCGCATATTGCGGCAGAATAGAGGTCCATGACACCTCACTTCATTTTCATAACCGGTCACTTTCGTTTTCACATTGGGGTTGAGGGCAGCGTGATCGTCCTCTGCCTAGAGCGGCAGTTCAGCTTGCTCCGGCCCTGGTCATCATCCATCTTGAAAAGTTTGCCCCCTCACATATACTAATGTGCCACAAACAGGATGTTAAGATCACCAACCACTCCCATTTTATTAAGGTGTATCCATATAAATGGCCCACACTATATAAAAGCCCCATGATTTTTACCACGTTTATTCTCTGTTATTTACTTGTTTATTTTATTTTTTGGCTTTTGTTTGTGTCTTACCTGCTTTCTGGAACTGCTCTTTGCCAACCTAAACCCTGTCATCGAGGTCAACTCCTCTCTGCGTCTCAAGTCCACCAATGTATGCTGCAAGGCACTTGCGTAACAGTGGGAAAGCCATCCATACAGAGGTAAGCGAACAGCTGGTAAGTGTGAAACGGAACGGCATCATACCGCCCCCTTTAGTGTTCGTTTTTAAGGATGAAATGCAGCCATATATACTTCTGGCTACATAATTTGCAATCTCCAGAAATGTATATTGGGCTACGTTTTCAGAATGAGCCTATGTTGCACCGTTGACTTCCATGGTAGTTGTTTTCTTTACTATGGAAGTCAATGCAATGGTTACAGGCTTTCATCATTCTCCATAACATCTTCTTTTGTGCTAAACATATAAATAAAGAAACACATTAAAGTCTGGAACCACTTGGGAAAAGTAAATATTGAGTACATTTGCATTTTTGTGTGAACTATCCCTTTAATACTAACAAACACTGTCAAGTGTTATCAGCAAACACTGCACACAAAACCATCTTGTTTCTCTCGCTATCTAAACCCGAGCAGAGATCAGCCGGCAGAACTTCATCATCTTTAATGGACGCCGTAATTAGCAGCCATTCACCCGCGTTCCCTGTTGTGAGCTAAAGGTTGTTCTCATTCTATTCTGGTCTCTAGCATTTATCCCTGGACTTGTGTTATGATGGGCTAACTGATATGGACAGCTGGGCAGTTCTGCACCGGTGCTGATCGCCACCACCGGTGGCTCTCGCTTTCTCTAATATCAGCTAATTACAGTGGTTAATCAGGCTGGTAATGAGTATGGGCAGCGTGCCATTTCAATCTGACACCGGTGGGAGTGAAGCTCACTTCCCTGCCAAGCTGATGTCAGTTCCTGCCAGCTCCCCGACCGCGCCGCGATCTTCAGTCCACCTGGCCTATGAATAATGAGAGGCCGGCGGACATTAACCTGCGTTCAGATTTACTGGACTGCCTCTGTTTAACAGGAGCTGTGAGGTGAAATTAAGACTGCTAATGAATAGGAGCTTTGGGAGTTTATGCTAATGCTATTAGCGAACCACCTTTAAGTGTTACACTTTGGCAACCTAAATAACAGCAGCCTGCATGGCTACCAACCAGAACACCCTAGAAACGCTTTGAATCTTACACAGAAAACATTACTAGGAATTTGTTTATCAATAAGATTCATTCATTCATTTTTTTGTCGGCTTAGTGCCTTTATTAATCCGGGGTCATCACAGCAGAGCGAACTAGAGATCTGCACGGGACTAAATTTTGAATCCCGCTCCCGCCCGCACCCGCCAGGTTTTAGCCCGAACCCGACCACTCCCGCTTATATTAAGAATTTGTTGTCCCGATGCCCGACCTGCCACGTTTTTGCCCCGCCGCTCCCGATTCTGAGAGCGGGGGAGAACAAAACCGAAAATCACCCAGCTATACACTCCAGACAGCCAAGCTGTCTGTATAAACACACACACACACAACACCAAGCACACACACACAAAGCTCTCTCTCTCTCTCTCATACGTGCGCGCACTAACATACACACACACACACACAAGCACCAAGCACACACACAGGCAAAGCTCTCTCTCTCTCTCTCATTCGCATAGCAATATCCTCGATATTGCTAGACAGCCTGCTCCCATCCCAAATTAAACCCGTTACCGACCGCTCCCGCGGTTTTTTATTTTTATTTTATTTTATATGCAGACCTCTAGAACGAACCACCAACTTATCCAGCAAGTTTTTACGCAGCGTATGCCCTTCCAGCCGCAACCCATATCTGGGAAACATCCACACACACATTCACACACACACTCATACACTACGAACAATTTAGCCTACCTAATTCACCTGTACCGCATGTTTTTGGACTGTGGCGGAAACCGGAGCACCCGGAGGAAACTTACATGAATGCAGGGAGAACATGCAAACTCCACACAGAAACGCCAACTGAGCCGAGGCTCGAATCAGCGACCTTCTTGCTGTGAGGCGACAGCACTACCTACTGCGCCACTGCATCCCCCCTCCCTTCAAAACAATTACCATATAATTCGCAAATACCTTTTGTTAATGTTGTGGAGTAAATGTCCCCACAAGTATAGCAATACCAGTAAATTTTAACTTTTTATGAAAATTTTTATTTATTTTTTGGTGTTCATGAGGAAAATTACTTATAAACCATAACAAAATTACGTATTTTAAAAATGTAAACATGCAGATTTTTTCCTGTGAGGGTTGGGTTTAGGGGTAGGGCTGGAGAAGTGTAATGGATGATAGGGTTCTACACAATCGATTTGTGTTGGGACAAGAGGGAACTGAGTTAACATTAGTGTTTACACAGTTAAATGGGGCGGCACAGTGGCTCAGTGGTTAGCACGGTTGTCTCACAGCAAGAAGGTCGCTGGTTCGAGCCTCGGCTGGGTCAGTTGGCATTTCTGTGTTGCACGTTGTTCTCCCTTGTATTGGTGTGGGTTTGCCTCTGGGTGCTCTGGTTTTCCCCACAGTCCAAAGACATGCACTAGGTAAAGTGTGTAAAACAAAATTGCCCGTAGTATGTGAGTGTGTGTGTGTGTGTGTGTTTATATGGTTGTATGTTAATGTGTGTGATTTTTTGAGTGTGTGTGTAAAAATATGCACTATGGAAAGTCCCTATAAAGATAGATAATCAAGTGTGTGTTTATATGTGTGTGTGTTTATATGTGTGATAGTGTGTTTATCTGTTGGTGTGTATGTGTTTATGTGTGCGATTGTATGTGTGCAATTGTGTGTGTTTATGTGTGTGATTGTATGTGTGCGATTGTGTGTGTGTGTGTGTGAAAAATATGCACTATGGCAAGTCCCTATAAAGATAGAATATACAAGTGTGTGTGTTTATATGTGTATGTGTTTATATGTGTGATAGTGTGTTTATCTGTGTGTGTGTGTGTGTTTATGTGTGCGATTGTATGTGTCCAATTGTGTGTGTGTGTGTGTGTGTTTATATGGTTATATGTTTATGTGTGTGATTTTGTGTGTGTGTGTGTGTGTGTGTGTGTGTGTGTGTGTGTGTGTGTGTGTGTGGGAAAAAATATGCACTACGGAAAGTCCCTATAAAGATAAATATACAAGTGTGTGTGTTTATATGTGTGTGTGTATGTGTTTATGTGTGCGATTGTATGTGTGTGTGAGAAAATATACACTATAGAAAGATATAAAAGTGTGTCTATAATGTGTGTATATGAAAAATATGCACTATGGAAAGTCCCCATAAGGATAGATGTACAAGTGTATGTGTGTTTATATGTGTGTGTGTTTATCTGTATGTGTGTGTGCGTGTATGTAGGTGTGTTTATGTGTGCGATTGTGTGTGTGTGTGAAAAAAATATACACTATAGAAAGTCCCCATAAAGATAGATATACAAGTGTATGTGCGTTTATACATGTGTGTGCTTATGTGTGTGCACTATGTATTACATAATGATATGAAAATGTATATAATAATCATTCAGCCCATTTGCTGACTGAAGATATCAATTCCAGTTGTTCTCATTTTATATTTTATCTTACTGATAGCATAAATCAAGCTCTCCTTTGAAAGCCCCCTCTTAATTTCTCCTCTAAACCAGCAGCATCAGGCACAAATAACTCGATCGCCCCTCCTCTTTTACATCCCTCCCTCCCTCCCTCTCTCTCTCTCTCTCTCTCTCAGTCACTCAGTCAGAGGAACATCTGAGCAGACAGACAGAGCCTCTCCACATCCAGCTGTCCGGACGCTGATTCATTTCACCACACACCAGCTCTGGGTGCAAACTCAGGAGGGGTGTTTGGGAAATTGAAAGGCATCCTAAAAGGGCCAACCAGGACTCCATCATTAGAGAGGTACGCCAGCTTTACATATACTACAGCGTGAGGGTAATCTGTGCTGAGATGGAACTGAATAGTTTGCAGTAGTTTACAGGAGAACTTAGAGTACGTGCTGCATGCGAGGCACTTTTAAATGAATCCATCTCCATTGATTTTTGCATTAAGTCATCTATTGATTGTTTAGAGTAATAAATTGGTTGAACTAAAGGCTTTAGAGCTAAAGGTTTAAGGAATAAGAAATGCATACAGGGAAATGAAGTGTACTTATATATTGATCTGTGGTTCTGGAGTGTACTGGATGTCATGCGATGTTTGATTTTAAACTACTTTAAAAGGCAATAGTTTGGCTTTATTAAACGTGTCATTTGTAATATGTAATTTTAATTGAGATTAAATATGTGCATGTTGAAGACTACAATTGACCTATGACCTGCAGAAAAGCGTGTATTTGTGTTTATTTGCAATATATATGCAGCTGAAGTCTGAATTATTCGCCCTTTATTTCTTTTACAAATATTTTTCTAATGATGTTTAACAGTTTTGTTCACAGTATTTCCTTTAATATTTTTTCTTCTGGAAAAAGTCTTATTTGTTTTATTTTTTCTAGAATAAAAGCAGTTTTCAATTTTTTTAAACTCTATTTTAAGGTCAATATTATTAGCCCCCTTAAGCAATTTAATTGTTGATTGTCTACAGAACAAACCACTGTTATACAATGACTTATCTGGTAACCTAGTTAAGCCTTTAAATGTCACTATAAGATGAATACTAGTATCTTGAAAAATATCTAGTCAAATATTATTTACTGTCATCATGACAAAGATGAAAGAAATCAAAATAATTTATTAAAACTATCATGTTTAAAAATGTGTTAAACAGAAAATGGGGATGACAATATACGAGGGGGGCTAATAATTCTGACTTCAACGGTATATACTGTGCTCAGCATAATTGAGTACTCTCCATTTTGTAAATGAATATTTTGATCCGTTTCTCAGTGAATATAGGCAATGTGTTTTGGTGCATTTAAGCAAAACTGATTTATTAAACAGATATATTTCGTCACCTTGGATTTATAAGGTTTTGTCTGGGTTCTGAATGATTTTGAGATATTGAGCTTCAAAGCTTTTGGATTCTATATAGCAAACAACATGTAGGTAGTATTGTTTTTTTTATCTTATAATGTAAACAACTTATAAAAATGTAAATGTATAATGTATAATGTAAATAAGTTGTCATTTAATAAGAATATGTCAACAACTCAATTTTGACAAAAATGTCAGATAGAACCTTATAATTATAAGATGACAATTAATCAGACAAATATTTTAGTCACCAAACATATTTAGAAATTGAAAGACAATACAATTAAATTAAAGCAAAATATTGCAAAAAAAATAATTACAAGCTGCAAAATTTCAACACTTTTTTTCTTTTTTTTGCTTCTCTTGTTTTTTTTTCTCTTTTTTAAAAAAAAATGAATTTGTATTTAATATTTATCTATAACATATAAATTTGGCTTTACTACTTTTTGGACCGTTATCCTAAGTTATTTAGTTAGATAAGCTCCAGATTTGGCTTCAGTACTGACCTAAGGAATTTATAGCCTAATGTATATGCACAAATATAATATTGTACATCTTCCTATTAAAAATAGGAATTTAAAAGAGAGATTTGTGAGGGGTGTACTTATATATGCTGAGCACTATCTCTATATATATACAATCATAATTATTCGCCCCTGTTTATTTTTTTCCCCAATTTCTGTTTAACGGAGAGAAGATTTTTTTCAACACATTTCTAAACATAATAATTTTAATAACTCATCTCTAATACCTGATTTATTTTATCTTTGCCATGATGACAGTAAATAATGTTTGACCAGATATTCTTCAAGACACTTCTATACAGCTTAAAGTCACGTTTAAAGGCTTAACTAGGTTAATTAGGTTAATTAACTAGGCAGGTTAGGGTAATTAGGCAAGATACTGTATAACGATGGTTTGTTCTGTAGACTATCGAAAAAATAAATAGCTTAAAGGGCCTAATAATATTAATAATAAAATTAATAATTAAAAACAGCTTTTATTCTAACCGAAATAAAACAAATAAGATTTTCTCCAAAAGAAAAAAATATATATACAGTTGAATTCAGAGTTATTAGCCCCCTTTTGATTTTTATTTTTTTTTTAATATTTCCCAAATGATGTTTAACAGAGCAATGAAATTTTCACAGAATGTCTGATAATATTTTTTCTTCTGCAGAAAGTCTTATTTGTTTTATTTTGGCTAGAATAAAAGCATTTATTAATTTAAAAAAAACATTTTTTGGACAAACTTATTAGCCCCTTTAAGCTAACTTTTTTTTGATAGTGTACAGCCATCAATATACAATAACTTGCCTAATTACCCTAACCTGCCTAGTTCACCTTATTAACCTAGTTAAGCCTTTAAATGTCACTTTGAGTTGTATAGAAGTGTCTTAAAAAATATCAAGTAAAATATTATTTACTGTCATCATGGCAAAGATAAAATAAATCAGTCATTAGAAATAGGTTTTTAAAACTATTATGCTTAGAAATGTGCTAAAACAATCTTCCCTCCATTAAACAGAAATATATTTCTGAATCATATATATATATATAGTATATAGTATATATATAGTATATATCACTATATATATCTATATGTATATATATGATTCAGATACAACTGTATAGGTACATGATATATAGGATAAAATATACTACACAACACGTACATATATATTATAATATACTATATGCACGAGTGTTTCATTACATAAGTATATAGAAATTTTTTTTTGATTATGGTGCATGTCTATGGTACAGAAGTGTGGATTTATCTATATGAATTATTGGAATCCAAAAGCATTTGATTTTCCATTCATATAATTTTTCCCTCTGCATACTAGCTGACAGCTTTAAAACTAACGCACAAAAAAAAAAAAAAAGATAAAAGCAACTCATTCCTAGATGAGGCTGCTTTCTGTGATTATTGTTTTGCCTTCAGACATCAAATGAGTCAGGAAATTAAAATTTTTGCAGGAAATATTTATCAGCACTTTCCAGCTTCCAAGACACAGAAAAAGTGCTGACGTTGAGGCAGAAAAAAAAAAAAAACATGTCAGGATTTTACAAATGAAAAGCATTTTATGATGACGAGACACCTGAAGAATGTTTTACTCTCGTTTGGTCTCACCGCTATTAAAAATGAAAGGAGAATAAAGCTCTGAGTGCATTAACTCTGACGATACACACTATTCAGATCAACTGCATTAACTCTCTGATGAGCCTCTGTTCATTAACTGCCTTGTGTTTTAGTTGCCTTGTGTCTTTACATAAATATTCATTCAAATTGCCCAGTTTATTTTATTAATACACAATATCACAATATTGGTAACAATTCACATTACAGGTAGGAGGATAAAACAATAAAAATAGATGGATATATTTAGATTGATGGATGGATGGATGGAGAGATAGATGGATGGATGGATGAATAGATAGATAAATGGATGGATGGAGGGATGGATATTTAGATGGATGAATGGATGGATGGAGAGATAGATGGATGGATGGATGAATAGATAGATAAATGGATGGATGGAGGGATGGATATTTAGATGGATGAATGGATGGATGGAGAGATAGATGGATGGATGGATGGATGAATAGATAGATAAATGGATGGATAGAGGGATGGATATTTAGATGGATGAATGGATGGATGGATGGATGAATATTTAGATGGATGGTTGGATGAATGGATGGATAGATGGATGAATAGACAGACAGACAGACAGACAGACAGACAGACAGACAGAGAGACAGACAGACAGACAGAGAGACAGACAGACAGACAGACAGACAGACAGATAGATAGATAGATAGATAGATAGATAGATAGATAGATAGATAGATAGATAGATAGATAGATAGATAGATAGATAGATAGATAGATAGATAGATAGATAGATAGATAGAAGGATAGATGCATAAATATTTAGATGGATGAATAGATGGATGGGTGGATTTTTAGATGAACGGATGGATGAATAGATAGATGGATGGATGGAAGGATTGGATGGATGAATAAATATATAGATATATGGATAGATGATAGATGGATGGAAGAATGGATGTTTAGATGAATGGATGGATGAATAGATAGATAGATGGATAGATGGAAGCATGGCTGGATATTTAGATGGATGGATGAATTTATAGATAGATGGATAGATGATGTGTGGATGAATGAATGGATATTTAGATGAACGGATAGATAAATGGACAGATAGGTGGTTATATGGATGGATGGATGGGTGGATAGATATTTAGATGGATGGATAAAAGGATGGATGAATATTTAGATGGATAGATGAATAGATATATAGATGGATAGATGATGGATGGATATTTATTTAAATGAACAAATGGATGAATAGATAGATGGATATATGGATGGATGGATTGATGAACGGATGGATGGAGGGATGGATGCATGGATAATTAGATAAATGGACGGATATTTAGATGAATGGATGAATAGATAGACAGATGGTTAAATGGATGGATGGATGAATGGATGATGGAAGGAAGGATGGTTAAATGGATATTTAGTTGAAAGGAAGAATGGATGAACAGATAGATGGATGGATGAAAGGTTGGATGGATGAGTGGATGATGGATGGATGGATGGATATTTAGATGGATGGATGGCTGAATGAATAAATAGACGCCCATTTTCACCCAATCCAATCAAACGATCTATTACATTAAGCTCCACCCACATTTATTTTTGTATTGAACTCGTGGTTCAAAGCTCATCTAAATATAACATTTAAATGGATCATCCTGTTTATTCACATTCATTTAGAAAAATTCTGCACTAAAAGCACAAACAGAGAATAAATGAATAAATGAATAAAACACCGTTTCTCTTTGCTAGTGCAGTCTTCTTTAAATAGTTAGAATTATTTTAATCTTATAAAAAAATAATCTCAATAATTTAAAAATACTAACCACAATTATTTGAATCTTAATAATTGTATCTGATAAATGCAAAAAATAAATCACTCATTAAAAAGTGCGGTCTTCTCTGAGAAAGCACTCCTTTGAGATTGTGTTTTATTTAGTAGCTCCACGTTAAAAATTGATGTTTTATGGAGGAAAAGGTCACGAACAGGCGGCTGTGATGCTCCACCTGTGGCTCAATATCGCGCGCACCACCAAACACTCCAATGCTCTGTTTTATAGCTCCAAGAATGGGAAAATCAGAGAGCCAAATGGATATCATGGAGAAAAGCACCAAACCGAGAAAGCATCGCTGGACTGTAGTGGAAATCGGACTGTCTGTGATTGTGCTTCTGATGAGCTGTGCACTGGCTGGACTCATAGTGCTCTACACTTCAGCGCTGAGAGGTGAGAAATTTCAGCTGCAAATCAGAGCAGTTTTACTCAAGTGCTGTTCAAGACCCTTCAAACAACACAAAACATGCTCATGATCTCTGCAGAATACCGAGAAAAAAGCAAGCATTCATAGAACAGCTCCGGGCGACCTTTCTTTTGCAGAACCTAACTTGATTATTAGTTAATAACACAATATTTATTGGTTTAATGTTTTAAATATGTATTTTAGATATTTAAAGTCATATTTTTATATTTAAATATTATTTGAATATTTAAGCACACTACCTAATAAAAGTCTTGTCAATCCCAGTTGTAAGAGGAACAAATAATAACTTGACTTCTAGTTGATCATTTGGAAAAGTGGCAGAAGGTGGATTTTTCCAACGCAGGCTTATACCCCGTTAACGTTTCTTGAGATCGCGAATCATGTAGCCGGAGGTACGTATGGCTGCATTTAATTTTTTAAGCGAACGCTACGGGGCGGTATGATGCCGTTCTTTTTTGTGCTTACCGGCTGACCGCTTACCTCTGTTTGGAGGGCTTTCCAGCTGCAACCAGTTTGTCCAGTTAGCTCGTGTTGTACATCGGCGGACTTGAGATGCAAAGAGGAGCTGACCACGATGACGACCAGGTTCAAGTCCGGGGAAGCGCAGTTGCAGAAATCAGGCAAGACAAAAACAGAATCCAAAAAAAGAAACGAGCGAGCGAACAACAGGGTAAGAATGTGGTAAAATCTGAAAACGTGGTAAAAACCAGACGAGGGCTTTTCTTTTTCAGGACGGCTTTTGTAAATTGTTGGTTTGGTTTAGGGAAGTAAGCGGGTGGGCGGATCAAACGGTAAATCTGGTTGGGTTTAGGGAAGGTGGAGGGTGGTTCAGTCGATTGGCCAGTCGCCCAGTCAATCTTTCAGTAGGTCATTCGGCAGCAGCCTCTGGTGGTTTTACATGAGAACAGCGCTGGCGCAAACGGCACTCGCGAGAGACATTTGAGATACAAAAAAGCTCACAAAGTGACCTCTTGTGGATTCGCAAAAACTGCAAAAGTACGTTCCTCCCGGGATGTATTTCGTGGTCTCCAGAAACGTCCACTGGACTATGTTTTTAGAATAAGCCTGGGTTGATCAGATGAATCATCTGTTGTACTGCATCCCAATCATCACATATACTGCAGAAGACCCACTGGACTCAGCATGGACCCAAGATTCTCACAGATATCAGTCAAGTTTCGTGAAGAATAAACCATGGTTTGGGGTTTAATTCAGATTGGGTGCGTGCAAGAGATCTGCAACATCAACAGCCTGAGGTATCAAGACATTTGTGCTGCCCATTACATTGCTAACCACAGGAGAGGGCAAATTCTCATACTTCAGCCTCCACATCAAAGTTCCTGAAAGCAAAGAAGGTCAAGGTGCTGCAGGATTGGCCAGCCCAGTTACCAGACATTACTGAGCATGTCTGGGGTAAGATGGAGGAGGCATTGAAGATGAACCCAAAGAATCTTGATGAACTCTGGGAGTCCTGCAAGAACGCTTTCTTTGTCATTCCAGATGACTTTTTAATCAGTGATTTGAGTCATTGCAGAGATGTATGGATGCAGTCCTCCATACCCAGAATATTCATTCTGTCTCCACTGCAGCAGGACTTTATATTCTATACTGGGCATTATTTTTGTTAAGTGACTAGACTATTGTCTAAGCAAAGTCAGACCTTCCTGTCCTAATTAAATAACTAAAAATCAAGGCTTGATCATAGTTTATTTTTCTAAAATAAGCGTAATCTAGAGCAGTGGTTCCCAACATTTTTTTTGCCTGAGACCCCCTTTTCCTCTGGAAAATATTGTAAGGCCCCCCTTCACATATACGTTTGCAGTAAGGATGACAAAAAATGCATTTCGTGTTTCCAGTATTTCTGGCGCCGTGCTCCAAATTGTTTGGAGCTTCCTCACCTGGGTACAATATGCTTGGGTCATTACTATTAGCTGCTGAAGGCGAATCAGAGAGACTCGGTTGTTTTTGTGGAAGACGAATTACAAATTTGTCCATTTTTTTTGGTCAGCCAGGGGATAAAATGAAGCCCTTCATATAAGCCACTTAACTTCAACTAGAAGTCAATTCAATTCGATTCAGCTTTATTTGTATAGCGCTTTTACAATGTAGATTGTGTCAAAGCAGCTTCACATAAATAGTCATAGTAACTGTAACAGTGTGGTTCAGGTTTTAGTGTTTAAGTTCAGTTCAGTTCAGTTTAGCTCAGTTCAGTGTGATTTAATCATTACTGAGAGTTCAAACACTGAAGAGCAAATTCATCGATGCGTTGCTCTACCAAGCCTGAACCATGCGAGCCAGTGGCGACAGCGGAGAGGAAAAAAAACTTCACCTGATGTTAGTGAAGAAAAAAAACCTTGAGAGAACCAGACTCAGTTGGGCACGACCATTTTAATTTCTCCGCTGGCCAAAAGTCTTGTGCAGAGCTTCAGTCGCCGTGGTGGAGGCTGGAAGATGGCCTCAGCGAAGACTCATCTGTCCCTGGAGCGTCGCTGGAATCAGACACATGTTCTCCACTCATGTTCTTAAGTCAAGTTATTATTTGTTGTTTCTAAAACTTAGATTTGTTGTTTCTTAACTTAGGCAACAAGACTTTTGTCAGGTAGTGCATTACTTTAGATATTTTGTATTTAGACACTGAAATATTTGTGTATATAATTTGTATATACACAAATATATATTTGGATTGACAATTTTTTTAAGGTAAGTGGTTGCGAACAATTTATGTTCTGAAGTTAAACAAATTAAGTTTAACATTACTAAATTTAATTTGTTTGTTTAAATTCAGTATATATAAATTGTTTGCAACCACTTATCTTAAATAATTTTTTGTTAATGAATTCTTTCAGAGCTTACAGGTTATACAGGCCACACATTGTTATGTAATGATATAAATCTGCACAACCAATTATGAATTTACTGTAATCCAAAAGCATCTTCTTATGTATCAAATACTTCTGACACATATCTGATTATATTCTATTTTCCTTTTATATTTCAGAGCGTTTTAACATAAACGATTCTTCAAAAGGTACAGTATGCTGTTAAATCATGCGCAATCACTCCATTTTGTGTATTCTGTACAGTATTAGTGCGTATATTTAGTATAGATGCACACACTGTGTACTATTAGCATGCCAAACCTCCAATAATATTAGTTTTATGTATTTTAACCTAAATTAAAATCCAAAACTACTGTATGCTGTCAAGTAGATCATTAATGTGAACTTTAGTGTAGTTTGGCAGGTTTTAATATTTAATATCCATATCGTGTTATATATATATGTGTGCTATATGAGCAATATCACACAAGTAGCAGTGCGATATTGCTGTATATCAGCCCTGATGGGAGGCAAGCATTAGCACAAGGCCGCAAGGCGAGCGTTCCACCAGTGCTGATATACAGCCATATCACACTGCTACTCGTGTGATATTGTGGTTATACAACAGTTCGACGGCACAATGGTGTATATAAAAAAGAAAATCAAACACGGAGTGTCCAAAAAACCCGTTTTTATTAGGAACTACTTTCTTCCGCAGTTCATTTACATCTGCAGCTGACGTCAGAACAGCAGAAGCCGTTACTAATTCACCAACGTCACTTTAGAGCTAGTGTTTGAATGACTCTCTATAGTGTAATGTCAAAAGTGATGACAAAACAGCTGATTTTGCTCACACTTTAGGATTATAAGGCTGAACGTGACATGAAATGCCATCCGTCTACAGAGATATCTTCTTACAGTGTTACAGTCTACATTATTTCTGTTGCAATCGAGATATCACAATAATTCACCCCGGAAAAATCAACGCAATCACTACCAGACTGCTGTTGTGTTTGCGATAAGGAAAAACGCTAAACACATGCAGACTTTACTTCTTTCTTTCTGCCAACACAACACACATTCCTGATATGTGAGCAAATCGGTATAAATAGAGCACTACAACATACAAAAGAGAGAGATCGACAAAGGATATCAGTTACCAGCATACCTGCCAACATGTCTCTGAAAATCCAGGAGAGTGGGGGGTGTTCGGGGGTGAGGTCTCTGAATAACACTATTGAGAACTGGGATAAAATGCAGCGGGTTTTGGGCGGCCGTTGCGATCGGGTACTGTACCAAAGTTGGCGACCCGGGGGTGTTTACAGACTGTACCAATAGGGAATTATCTAAATTACGGAAGTTGTCTAGAAGAAATAAAAAACGGGTCTGAAATACGGTATACTCTCAGGAAAAACGGGATTGTTGCAGGTATGCTTATCAGTTTAATAATAATTTGATCAGCTGTAGTCAGAAATCAGACTGTTATAATCTTCTAAGCGTAAGGGCTTAGTATCCGGTTCTGTCGCCATCTTGTGGATAGAAAACGTCAACCGTCTTTGGTATACTACACCATGGCAGCCTCATGGCCGCCGACGAGCTCCCTCAGAAATTGTAAATATTTTAAAATAGGCACTATTTTTTATAAATAAACTGCATAGTTGCATTCTAAACAGCTACATTCTCGACTAAAAAAGCCTCAAAAGTACATTATGTTGTCTAATAGCAGTAATATTTGTCAAACTGTAGTGTCTCTCTGCTTGTTCCTGACTGTAAATGGGGGGAGTAATACACAAAGGTGAAGTGTGAAGAGGCGTTTGTGTGATGTTACTAGCAAAATATCACATCGCTATCAGCCAATCAGATTGAAGAACCAGACAGACCTATTATATATATATATATATATATATATATATATATATATATATATATATATATATATATATATATATATATATATATATATATATATATGTTTTCTTAGCTATTTATTCAGTGCGATATTTATAATACTGTATGTTATAATATGTTGATCATAAATATTACATTTTGTGCAGAGTTTTGTCCGATTATCCTATATAAGAACTCCATTTACTGTACAATATTATTGCAGAAAGTACAGGATACATTATGTAATAATATTATTAATAATAAATGTTATTTCTAACTCGCTTTTCTAAGACCCAAAGCGCTTACAAGATAGTAGAAAACAACAAAGCATAGTAAAACAATAAAGAATACAGTAAAAAAAAAAAACCCCGGTGAGAATAAAAGAGATATCACAAATTAAAAACAGTCCTAAAACGATGAGTTTTAAGTAGCTTCCTAAAATAGTCCAAGGAACCAGCATTCCTAATGTTTGTGGGAAAAGCATTCCAAAGTTTGGGTACACGGTAAGAGAATGTCCTACCTCCCATGGTGCTGAGTTTACAGCGAGGCTGAAACAGCGTAGGACCCAAGGCAGGGAATGCATTATGTAATACTAGTGTAACGGAATCAGTATGGCAGGCTGTTTTAGCATTAAATCTATAAACTGTACTAGTATCTGCTATATATATTTTTTTTGATTTTCTTTAGGTATTAGTACTCATTTATTAAATACTGGTAACACTTGAACTTGAGTCATTGGATATTAAAGCATTTTCATTAGATACTATAATACATTATTATTACGTCGAGACTATTTGTTATTCATAAAATTGAAATCTTTTAATCAGAATAATTTAATTATTTTCTTTTTAACAGAAAGATTGTTTCAACGCATTTCTAATCATAATAATTTTAATAATTTATTTCTAATAGCTGATTTCTTTTATCTTTGCCATGATGAGAGTAAATAATATTTTACTAGATGTTTTTCAAGATACTAGTATTCAGCTTAAAGTGACATTTAAAGGCTTAACTAGGTTAATTCGGTTAAAGTTTGGGTAATGAGGCAAGTCATTGAATAACAGTGGTTTGTTCTGACAATTAGGAAAAATACTGCTTGGCTAATAATATTGACCTTAAAACGGTTTAAAAATATTAAAAACTGCTTTTATTCTAGCCGAATAAAACAAATAGGACTTTCTCCAGAATAAAAAATATTATCGGAAATACTGTGAAAATTTCCTTGCTCTGTTAAACACCATTTGGAAAATATTTGAAGGAGAAAAAAACTCACAGAAGGGCGAATCATTTAGAGTTTAAGTGTGGATTATATGTTAAAAATGCCTGCCATATAATCTCTCACTATACGACATTAGTCTGCATGTGTGTTATTTAAGTGCATTATGTTGCGTTTGAACTCACTCATGTTGTTTATCTCGCCACATCACAACAGGGCTGAAATATCGATCAGACGCCGACAGCAATGTCTGTACAACCCCACAGTGTGTCACTGCCGGTAAGATACTCATAAAGTCACTTTATTACTATTTTTGGGATTTCTGCCTTGTAAAAATGCTTTATTTTGTCCCAACACACCTCAATTAAGTTAACTCAATATTTGTTTACAAATTTAAGTGGATTGAACATCAATCGATTCAGTTGTCCCTCAAAAAACTTGTGAATAGAATTGATTCAACTCATTTTAAATTAGTAGTTAAACAAGACATTTTTTTTTGAGTAAAGTATAAACATTAGCAAAGAAGGCTGTTAAAAATTAAAAATTTGATCAAAATATGAAAAGAAATGTAGCAACTTGCATTAACAGTCTATGCATGCAAACACTGGTATTGGACCACCTACAATATTTTTTATCTTGGCACATGAATACACAGATATATTTTGTGTATATTATGAGAATAACAATACTTATTTGATATATTGTGCAACCCTAGCTACTATAAGAAAGGAGCAACAACTAAAAATGTTGTTAAAAACTAAAAAAAACAATTAAGAACAATTTTCAGAAACATGGAAGTGTTATTATGAATCAGCCTGGAAGAGGCCGGCTCATACCTGTCAACATTGGGATGTGACAGCCTGATCTCACAAGAAAACGTAAGTATTTTAAGTTTTGCCATTTTAGTGGCTAATTCGTACGAATTCGTACGAGTTCAGTCGTACGAAATGGTACAATTTTAAAAAGGAGGCGTGGCACCTGACCCCACCCCTAACCCCAACCGTCATTGGGGGATAAGCAAATCGTACTAAATTGTACGAATTAGATCGTACGAATTCATACGAATTAGCCACTAAATGAAAAAGTTACGAATTGCTGTGAGATTGTGTTGGATGTGAAAATAAGGGATATGCCCACCATAATAAGGGGTCACCCCTCACCCCCACACCCCTCTTAAAAAAATCCCCAAATAACTAAATATGTTCATTTGGAGCTGTTTCATTGTAAATAAACAGCTAAATTGTCAGTAAAATGGTTTAAAATTATTATTAACAAAATAAAAATAAATATATACATTAGCAGCAAATACATTAGCAAACAGTTCAGCTTTTAAAATTAATAGCTATTATAATGAAATAGAATCAAGCTATCTCATTAGCCATTTCTCCACTGTATTACTTACACATTCTGATTAAAGAGCAACGAATGAATCTCTCATTTATTAAGATTTTTTTTATTACATTAAATAAGAGGTGTCAATTTAAAAATGCACACATCTAACATTATACTGAAAGCATTCGACTGCTTTCCTTACTTTTATGGTCATTTAAGACGAAATTAGTTGTGTTTGGGAAAAAAAACACCAAGATCGACATCTTAATATAATAATAATGTGTGTATGTCCGTTTAAACACGCACCCAAAAGCCAGACTTTCTCTCCGCTTCTAATCCCGTGTACAGAATTCGTTTGGGAAACAGCATCTGTTTATCACTATGGAGCGCGTCAGCTGACAGTCTGACCATTAGATGACTGTTTTGAGGATTGTATAGGATGGGTGACGGCACTTGTAATCAAAAGGAAAGGGAATCATGGCGTTTTTAATGTTTATTTATAAGTGTTTTCATACTTAAACAAAGCGAAAGCACAGAAGGCTCGCGTTTTAGAGCAAGGGGCGACCCCTGGTGGTTCGGCGGTATGGATTGCGTATAGGGAGGCTCGGCTGTTCAGAGAAAGACTAAAAATACGGGAGAAATACGGGAAAATACCTTTACGAGATGATAGCGGAATAGAACTGTAAAATACGGGAGAATCCTGGAAAAACGGGAGGGTTGACAAGTATGGGCCGGGTTTATATCTTGTCCAAACACACTGATAGTCACTCTTATCGCGTGATAAAAAAAAATATCGCCGTTAATCTATTCTCGAAGTTGGGTTGGGAGCTGGGTCTATTCTACGCAAGCTATGATGACTTTTACCTTGATAGTTTAGCATGGATGTATACCTGACCGTTGAGCCGTCTGACGAAAAAGTGCCCTTCTGAATCAAATCAGCAGGATGCCTGACCTTAACTACAGTTCAGCAGTTTCACTTTAACTCATGAAGATTTCATTCATGCCGCCGTGACAAACTGGGGTATTAGATGCAAATAAGTAGTAAGGACTGGTGAGAGTATTATAGAATTTAATAACGCACGCCAAATGGAAAGAAAAAAAACTTCTGCATTTCGCGATGTGTGTGTGCTTGTATGTGTGTGTGCGGTCCTTTACTGACAGCCGTGTGTATTGAAGTGATTTTTATACGCTAGGTCCCCTTTAAATTTACCAGAGTGTCGATATTAATGGAAAACACTTAATGTCAACTTGAGTTTTTTGGCTCACTTGTTGTTTTTTATTCCACTGATCCAGCGGCTCGTCTGCTCCAGAACATGGACCCCAGTGTGGACCCGTGCCAGAACTTTTATCAGTACGCCTGTGGAGGCTGGATCGAGCGGCACGTCATTCCTGAAACCAGCTCACTCCACAGCGTCTTCAACATCCTCCGAGACGAGCTGGAGATTGTGCTCAAGGGTCGGTTTGTGTCTACTTCAACATCAGCTTTTTTTTTTGGGGGGGGGGGGGGGTTGGTTCATGTGGAGTCTGCTAAAGGTTTTTTATCTTGTTGCTTGCTGACTGATGTCTCACAGGAGTTCTGGAGATGGAAAATAAGGATGACAGAGAGGCCTTCAAGAAAGCCAAAACACTCTACAGCTCATGCATGAACGAGAGTGAGTCTGTGATTTGAACTTTCTGTTTGGCTGACTACATCTTTTCATTTTGAAGTTGCTCATTAATTTCAATAATTACAAAAAATGTCAAGTGAATTTAACATTTAAATTTAAATGAGCTATTTTAAAATGTATTTACAACTTCAATACTCTGCAATGCCATAAAATATTATGACAAATTACACTGTGTGGAGTTTTACAACATCAGGGCGGCACGGTTGCTCAGTGTTTAACACTTTCGCCTTACAGCAAGAAGGTCTCTAGTTCTGGGTCAGTTGGCATTTCTGTGTGGAGTTTGCATGTTCCCCCCGTGTTGGCGTGGGTTTCCTCTGGGTGCTTCGGTTTCCCCCCACAGTCCAAACACATGTGCTGTAGGTGATTTGAATAAACTAAATTGGCCATAGTGTATGCATGTGGATGAGAGTGTATGGGTGTTTCCCGGTACTGGGTTGCAGCTGGAAGGGCGTCTGCTGTGTAAAACATATGCTGAATAAGCTGGTGGTTCATTCCGCTGTGGCGACCCTGATGAATAAAGTGACTAAAGGCTGATTTATAATTCTGCATCAAGCGCACAGGTATGCTCCGGTGCAGCCTACGCGTGGATGCATAGCCCTCGCCATGGCCATCGGCCACACTCTCAAAAAATTTAACTACACATCGCACCGATGGGTAGCGCAAGCTCTGTGATGTCAAGCTCGGCTTGGTAGCACTGACGAGTGTGGACGGAGGTGAGAGCCGTGCGAGCCTGATGCAGCGTGTGTTTACAAGTGTCGAATCCCGTGAAAGAGCTCTAGATGGAGGCTGTTGTTTTGTGTTTACTTTTTGATTAAAGTTGTTGCACGTCTGTCGATTACCACATCAAAATGAGCGAGTTTGAGCCTTGCATATTAAGGAACAATGAGTGAATGAAAAACACTATAGGATTTTACAACAATTTTCATGACTTTGCATTTGTGCAAATTTGTATATGCTGGTTTTTATAGCTATTTACAAAAGAGTCAAGTGAATTAAACATTTTTAAGTTGAAGAAAGAAAAAAATGTAGTTTTATTTAGAACTTCAATACCCTGCAACCCTATAAAGCAGGGATCACCAAACTTGTTCCTGGAGAGCCGGTGTTCTGCAGATTTTAATCCAAATCCCTAATCAAACACACCTGAATGAGCTAATCAAGGTCTTACTAGGTATACTTGAAACACCCAGGCAGGTGTGTTAAGGCAAGTTGGAGCTAAACATCAGCCCTCCAGGACCGAGACTGGTGACCCCTGCTATAAAATGGTTTAACAAATATCCCCATGGACTTTTTACAACATTATTTATGACTTTGCAGTTCTGGTTTTACATCTGGTTTTTAAGTCTGCCACTATGCAGACACATGGGCATTTGTAGCTCCACCCTCTTTTAAAAAAGACCACAATCTTATTTGAATTTAAAGCGACAGTCACCAAAATGGCATAATTAAGATTAAAGGGTCAGCTCCGGAGACGCATCAAACATCATTTGTGGGGTATTTTGAGCTTAAATTTCACATACACACTCTAGGAACTCATTTTACATCTTGTAAACAGCATAATATGTGCTTTGTAAAGCTAAAAAGGGCATTATCCCAGGTCATATATGGTTTCAATATTTCTAAAATATGACAAACAAAGTCCCATTCATACTTTCACAACTCATGTTTTAAAAACCATCAGTGTAAAGTTTTGGAAGCATATTTTTATAATTGTACAGTGTAGCATTTAGACTGCCTTAAAGCAAACAAACATGGACTAAAATGTTATGGGATTGATGTTACAGAGCAGACGTGGAGCCTTGAGGACACGCTGGCTTTGCAGTAATTGTATATCTTAATATTATTTTATAGCTAAAATCATATATGTTTTGTGTTGAATCTTTATTTTGGATTCTACTACATCATTAACAATGTTTAATGTTTGATAAGTGGTGTTAATGAGGCCAGAAAGGGCAACTCTACCTGCACTCTGTGTGGGTCCTAATGCCCCAGTATAGTGGAGGGACTCTTTTGGCCTGTTTCCACTGAGTGGCACGGTAGGGTACGGTATGCTTTTATGGCCGTTTCCACTGTCAAAAGGCGTACTGAACCGAACCTTACCACTTTTTTCTTTTTGCAAAGGGTACCAAGGGTACCAAAAGGCAGAGCTAGACGCGCAGCTGAATGCTATTGGTTTACAGAGATACGTCATTCGCTCACGCAACAAGCCAAATTGAAAACAAAGGAACCGTCATGTTTTAAATACACAGCTGAAACATTACATCATAGCATTATATACATATAATAATGAGCCATGGATGACACAAGCTCAAACAAACCTTGTCGTCGTGTTGATGACCAGCCAAAAAGCCAAGAAGAGCAAAATCTGCTGTGCCCTGTTGTTTTACGAGGCCGTCTAAAAATGCGAGCTGCTTCACTCTGTCCAGAGAGCTCACGATTGCATCTATATTTGAAATAACGAACTTTTTGAGCTCATATTGATAACCTGCACATGATCATTGAAGCGCTCTGATATGCGATGATCCTGTCAGAAAGGGACAAACGCAAGAGTAAAAAAAAAAAAAAAAAACGGGAAGAAGCCAAAAAAAAGAAGGAGAAGCCAGAAAAAACAGCAGCAAATGATGCGTCTGCAACCTAAAACATAAACAAAATGCCATGTTTAATTATTATCATCACCTTTTGGACTATTATGAACTGGGAATGACCGAATTACTTTCTAACAAGAGGCTACACGTACTGTTAAAGATTAAAGACACTTATGAAAGGTTTGCACTGACTGTGGGCTATATTTCGGGTTGGGGGGGATGTCGAGGGAGCTGTTGCGGACGCCGCCCTCTCTATTCTGCCGCCCTAGACGCGGATATAACTGAGGGCACGGGTAGTAAGGGTAGTTTCGCGGACGCCGCCCCCTCTATTTTGCCGTCCTAAACGCGGATATAACTGAGGGCACGGGTGGTGAGGATAGTGTCGCAGACGCCGCCCTCTCTATTTTGCCGTCTTAGACACGGATATAACTGAGGGTGCAGGTGATGAGGGTAGTGTAACAGACGCCGCCCTTTCTATTCTGCCGACCTAGACACGGATATAACTAAGGGAGCGGGTGGTGAGGGTAATGTCAAGGACGCCGCCCTCTCTATTCTGCCGCCCAAGACGCGGATATAACTGAGGGCACGGGTGGTGAGGATAGTGTCGCAGACGCCGCCTTCTCTATTTTGCCGTCCTAGACGTGGATATGACTGAGGGCACGGGTGGTGAGGGTAGGGTCGCAGACGCCGCCCTCTCTATTCTGCCGACCTAGATGCGGATATAACTAAGGGCGCGGGTGGTGAGGGTAATGTCGTGGACGCCGCCCTCTCTATTCTGCCGTCCTAGTCACGGATATAACTGAGGGCGCGGGTGGTGAAGGTAGTGTTGCAGACGCCGCCCTCTATATTCTGCCACCCTAGACGCGGATATAACTAAGGGCGCAGGTGGTGAGGGTAGTGTCGCGGACACTGCCCTATGCATGGATATAGCTGAGGGCACAAGAGGTGAGGGTAGTGTCGGGGATGCCGCCCTCTCTATTCTGCCGCCCTAGCCGGCTGCCTAGGTCATCTCTATAGACGCACCTGCCCTGACTACAACTTTTTACAACAACATCTGTTTTTTGTTTCTAATTGACCAACATGGCTGGGTTCACTTCAAATGTGGAAGACGCGAATGAGGCAAATTTTGAACATTCGCAACAAACACATTGCTTATTCCACATTGTTCGACCGTGGAATGCTAATGTGCCTCTGTTCTCACATTAGCATTTAAATTTACTAGCGAAAATACTCCATTTGGTGTGAGCCCATCTTAAAAGGGTCATTATCGCCACCTGTTGGTTCGGCGTGCCCATAACATGCACCTCAGCAATCACAGTCCATTTTTGCTGTGTCATGTGGATGGAGTTTTAATAAATAAAACGAAAGCAGGAAAAACTCTGTTAATAAAAATACTCATGTACATACGAACATGACCTAACACACTAATATTGTTGTCTCTTTGCTTCCCCCTGCAGTTCTGATCGAGCAGCGCGACTCGCAGCCTCTACTCCGGCTCATTGACAGCATTGGCGACTGGCCCGTGGCTTCAGAGGTCTGGAATGGCACATCAGGTACAGGAGATAGCACAGCCGTCTCTAATTCACTCGCACTGAGAATGGCAGCATCTTGGCCTTATCTAAATGGGATAAATGCAGCGGCTCCAGCCGTGCTGTCTCTGCGTGTTGATAAGGTGCGAGACTGATGGAAAAGTCCAGTGGTGCTGCTCATCTGTCATGTGTAGAGCAGATAGAGGCGCGTCGAGGAGGGCGAGCAGACGAGAGACTGACCTAGTGGGTGAACCCACACTATAGGGCTTGTTGATATACATTAGAAAAATTATGGTTGTTATTTGTTTAAACTACTTACTTAAAATGAGCTAAAAATGACACAATTTATAAGGGTTTTTTGGGGTTTTTTTTAAATTGATTTGTGTTCAATCAACTGATCAAATCAAAATTTGTCAAATCTAATAATCTCAATTTCAACTCAAATTAATCGAGGGCAGGATTTCCATCCAATAAATTTGTATAGCACAAACTAAAACAAAACATTTTACACAATTAAATGCAATGGGCTATATGCACAGCTAGTGTTTTTCAACCAATGATAAACATCCGGGTAACAGTTAATATGACTATTTTCATTTTTACAAGGTTCCTTTTATAGCATCGATTAAGTGAAACATTGTGGTCTTTCACAATGTTCACAAAATGAAAAGTGTTTATTTTACTTAACTAAACTAGCAGTTTTAGCTAGAACAAATCTGTACAGTATCAGTCTTATTATATATTTTTTCTCTTTGGTTCAAAGATACTAATAATTTTTTTTAATATGTATGCAAACCGAGACACTCTGTCCTTTAATAGATTAATTATCTATTTTCAAAGCAAAAGATTGATTATTTATTATGGGTCTGATACTATCTGACACAAATAACTAGTTTGGTTTTGGAAATAAGCCTGTGATCATGTTTAATACATTATTTAATTGCGTCCATCTGACTGTGAACAACAGGACGTCTTTTGTATACTGAGTTTCATGGGTCAGCTTTTGAGATTTACAATTCAGTTTTATTACACATCAACCGGTCATGGTGCTCATTTAGTACCGCAATGCGTATTAAAGTCAATAGAAAAACATTGGCAAGCTGTTTTATTTCTGTAACATCATTTTTTTAGGTGAAACTCAATATTCAGAGAGAAAACTTTATCTATTTGGAATTAATTTGATTGTGAAATGGAAAACTGCTTGGCTGAACCATAATTGTAATAAGTATGAGTCAGTACTAAAGCCAGAAATGTTAAAGAGAGTGAATGCTGGTGAAATAAAGTTGACCTCAGCCCCTGACTTTCATATAAGAATAGTAAAACAGATTAATGGGGACCTATTATACAAAAATCCCTTTTATAAATGGTGTAATACAGTTGTGTGGCAATATTGTACAAATATAACCAGCTTCTAATGGTAAAACTAGATTAATAATATTTTTTATAATCACATTTGATATGCAGAAACACTTTGATTGACGTTCTCCCTTTATACGTGTCATCAGAGGGGGAAAGTCCCGCCTACTAGTGACCATCTTTCCCTCTTTAGCATAGGACGTTAATCTGGTTTTTAAGTCTGCCACTATGCAGAAACACGAGCATTTGTAGCTCCACCCTCTTTTAAAAAAGACCACAATCTTATTTGAATTTAAAGCGACAGTCACCAAAATGGCATAATTAAGATTAAAGGGTCAGCTCCGGAGACGTATCAAACATCATTTGTGGGGTATTTTGAGCTTAAATTTCACATACACACTCTAGGAACTCATTTTACATCTTGTAAACAGCATAATATGTGCTTTGTAAAGCTAAAAAGGGCATTATCCCAGGTCATATATGATTTCAATATTTCTAAAATATGACAAAGTCTCATTCATACTTTCTTTTTTTACATAACTCATGTTTTAAAAACCATCAGTGTAAAGTTTTGGAAGCATATTTCTATAATTGTACAATGTAGCATTTAGACTGCCTTAAAGCAAACAAACATGGACTAAAATGTTATGGGATTGATGTTACAGAGCAGACGTGGAGCCTTGAGGACACGCTGGCTGTTCTGAACGGTCGCTATAATAAGAAGGCTGTGCTGGAGATGTTCGTGTGGCCAGATGACCGCGACTCCAGCCGCTACATCATCCATGTAAGATAACGATATGACTTTTGTTATTGTAGGTTAGAGTTTATACTGTCATTTATGCTGCAAACATAGCTAGTCAAAATTATTAGCCCCCCTTTTTATATTTTTCCCCAATTTCTGTTTAACGGAGAGAAGACAATTTTTTTTCAGCACATTTGTAATCATAATAGTTTTAATAACTAATTTCTAATAACTGATTTATTTGATCTTTGTCATGATGACAGTAAATAATATTTGACTAGATATTTTTCAAGACACTTCTAAACAGCTTAAAGTGACATTTAAAGGCTTAACTAGGTTAATTAGGTTAACTAGGCAGCATTGAGTAATTAGGCAAGTTATTGTATAACTATGTTTTTTTCTGTAGACAGTCAAAAAAAATAAATTCGCTTAAAGGGGCTAATAATTTTGACCTTAAAATGGTTCATAAAAAAAATTTAAAACTGCTTTTATTCTAGTCAAAATAATGCAAATAAGACTTTCTCCAGAAGAGAAAATATTATCAGACATACTGTGAAAAAACAACAAAAAAAAAAAAATTCAAAGGGGGGCTAATAATTCTGACTTCAAAAGTATTTAGGGCAAGAATAAAGAATGAGCCTCCTCCATCCGGCCACTTTACCTTCTCTTTGTTTTACTTTTGCTCTTTACTTTACTTCTTTACTTTTGTGCATAAGGAAACATCCATTAGCATACATATTTAAATTAATTTGTTTAATTTCATTTGTTCATTGCAAAATGACTAAAAGAACAATAATAGAAAAGTGTGGTCAGAAAACTGCTATATCCAAACACATGTCCTGTTATGCCCCATATGGTGATGCAGACGTCTCCAAAACCCCACAGGTGGACAAATCTAAACTTGTTTTTATTAAAACAAATATAAATATGCATATAATAAATGATACTGCTAATAATAATAACATTATACAAATGCAAATTGTCATGAATAAATGATATTTGAGAAAGATATTTGTGTATTACTGTGCATCCTGTGTGTATTAAGCATTTGGACCTGCATAGGCGCATAACTAACACGCTCTGTGCTGGACTTTAAACCAGCTTTTAGATGGTCAATGGCGCGGTCTATATCCGTTCATCAAAATAGCAATGCGCCAACAATGCGCCTTAACACACCTCCCTTTTAGACCTGCATGCCCACGAGTCCACAAAGTGGCGCAAATGGATTTACTATTTAAACAATGTGGTGCAAAAGAATTAGGGTTGTGCTGGTCTGAAAATAACAACAAATTTCGCCATACACAACTTGCAGCTTGCACCATCAGGTGTTATAAGTGCCAATTTATTGGAAATTGGGATTTAAACATAATCAGAAACCTAAATAAATAATCTTTCCATTAGGTTTGTTACAAAAGGACAATATTTAGTTACAACAACTGTACGACATACAATATAAAACAATTTGAAAGTATGGAAAATCTGGAGAAAATCACTTTTAAAGTCGAATAAATGACATTTTTTTTCCATATTAATCCATATTACTAATAAAATATACGTTTAATAGATTTACAGAAATCAATAATCATTATATTCAATGAAAATGATCATTACCTAATATAAAGATTACTAGCATAAACTAAAAATTGTCTAACTTTGACCCATTAGGTATTTTTTGGCTATCCCTAAACATATAACTATGCGAGATAAGACTGCTTTCGTGATTCAGCATCACAAATACATTTAAAAAACATTAGAAAATGTTTATCAGAAATGATACATTTTCTTAAACATAAAAAATAAGCAGTAAAATTTAATTTATTCGTTCATTTTCTTTCGACTTAGTCCCTTATTTATCAGGCGTCACTACAGCGGAATGAACTGACAACTATTCCGGGATATGTTTTAACGCAGTGGATGCCCTTCCAGCTGCAGCCAAGTACTAGGAAACACCTATACACACTTATTCACATACACTATGGACAACTTAGTTTACCCAATTTACCTATAGCACTTGTGTTTGAACTGTGGGGAAAACAGGAGCACCCGGAGGAAACCCACACCAAGAGGGATAACATGCAAACTCTAGAAATGCCAACTGACCCAGCTGGGACTTAAACCAGCGACCTTCACGCTGTGAGGTGACAGTGCTAACAACAAAGCCACCATGTTGCTGCAGAGAAATTAAGCTTGTACAAAAAAAATAATCAATGCATTCATCTATATCTCTCTATTTAGCATTAGGGCAGCATTCTACTGCCTTCACCTCAATACTTGCAATCAAACCCAGTCTGATTGGTGATTCAACGCCACATCACCTTTTAAAATACACAGTGGGTAATTGCAATTTATTTTACATAATACACCCTGATTAAAATGCCATTTGGAGCGTGAGCTAATAAAACAGTAAGTTTGATTACAGCACCATTAGACGATCTCAGGCATGCCGAGCCCCAATACAGTGATTCAGAAACAAACAGAAGACTGTTTTTTTTCATTGCGACTCTCTCCTTCTGATTGCACAGGTCGACCAGCCAGCTTTAGGAATGCCTTCAAGAGATTATTACCTCAGCGATGGGAATTACAAAAAGGTACATTGTGTTATTTTGTATGAAGGATTCTCTCTTTTTGTAATGCTGTTAAAATTACACAAATCAGTAACTCTCCCTATTTGTGTGTGTGTGTGTGTGCGTGTGCGTGTTTTTATGACACATCAGTACACGTATGTGTATAAAGGAAATGGGTATTACACAGTTATTACAAGAAGATGGTGAATATGGTGACTACGATTCTGGATTTGCCTGTACATATCTGTTTGCACCTGTGCTGACCTTTGCTTGCCTGACAACGAATAAACCTGCATTGTTGATCTTACCTCAGCTGTATGTGTCACTCCCCGTGGTTACATACATCAGTTTTATTGTCTTTATTACAAGCAGGTTGTTTTAAAAACTTTTTAAACTTTTAAAAAAATCACAGAGAGTTGGAGCAGATATTTTAATCTCAGTTTATTTGCAAAAAAAAATGTTCTGTGGACATGTGTTTATATGTTGTTATTATAGAAACATGCCACCTGTTAATCAATTTGGTGGGTGGGGAAAACCACACTCCCACGTCACATTGTGGTGGGCCTCAAAATAAATGGGATACTGGGAAATTTTAAAAAAGACACTTGTTGGGTTTATATCAGTCTAATATGACTGTGGTCCATTATGCTACACAAGTATCTGTTCAAACAGATTTTCATCATAGGTGCCCTTTAAAGTAATATATCGTCTGGCTTGGTGTTGTATACGCTACATAAACCTTGTAATAAACTGCCAGTACATTTTCTGTTATTTTACAAACTTATTTCTCTCTACATATCATTTTTTATACATTAAATTATTTCAAACTACTAAAATGTCAATAAAAGTCACTTTGTTAAACTGTAGAGTTGAATTTTCAACACCAAAAGTCAACAGAGCAGAGATCAACATCCCATAATGCAATTCACGACTGTAAATAAACGGAAAACACTTGTGAATCACACAATACGGAAAGTGTTCATTGACAGATATTGTTTACAGTGCAGTTTCCTGTGAGGGTTGTGTTTATGTATATAGGGCAATAGAATACAATGAAAAACCCACAAATGTCCCCACAATTCACAAAAACAAACGTGTGTGTGTGTGTGTGTTTGTGGGCAGGTACGCGAGGCCTACCTGGAGTTCATGGTTTCAATGGCGAGGATTGCAAGGGAAGACAGAAATTTGACCCAAGATGAAGAGCGTGTGTTGGAGGACATGTCTCAAGTCCTGGAGCTGGAGACAGACATCGCTAACGTGAGCTCCTCAAATGCTAAATATTAACACAGGCAAAAGCATCTGTGAACAATGTGGAAAATGAGTATAATGTGAACGTCAAATCACAAATGCTTCAACAGGCTACCTCACCAGCAGAAGAACGCAATGACATCACTGTGCTCTACAACAAGATGACGCTGAGAGAAGCGCAGCAAACGTTCAACCTCAATGTGAGTCTGCAGATTCAAAAATTCTATTGTAAAAACTATAGTTTTTGAATCATACCACAGTAAACACACACATTTTCCAGACACTTGCACCAGATACATTCTTACAATCATTCTATATTGCTATAAAACATTGTGCATTTCTGAATGTGCCTCACACAGGTGAGTGGTCTTGACAAACCACCTGTAGAAAATACACTCTTCTCTCCATAGGCACATTCTTAAGGCTCGTACACACAGGAACGCTTTTCATTTGCGTGTATCGCTAACGTTTTTCGAGATGTTTTTCCGCATTTAAACCCAAGCGAATTTCACTGGCGTCCAGCAGAAGAGTATGCAAAATCCCTCCTTGACTTTAGATGGTGAAACACAACTTTAAGTGCAATAAGCAGCTCCATGTTCATATTGCATCTGGGCATCTTCTTCAGTGTGCGCTCGCATCGAAAGTTTTCCCTTGAGCACCTCCAAGTGCTGTTTACTGTAACATTAGCAGCTCCGTGCACGTGAACAGAAGTGCTAATCTGATTGGTGGAGAAGGTTTTGATGCGGCTCGTCAAAAAAAAAAAAAAAAAAAAAAAAAAAAACGAGCTTGAGTTTCTTTAAAATAGCGCTTTAACGCCTGTTTTGCGCGTTGGTGTGCACAATCACATTGGCGCCCTTTATTTAGTCACAAGGCGTTTCATGTCAAAGGACAACGTGAGCAAAAAGCGACCCCGTGTGAACGGGCCTTTAAAGTCACTCCATATCTCTGTAAAACATTGTGCATTTCTGAGTGTGCCTCACACAGGTGAGTGGGCTTAACAAACCACCTGTAGAAAACACAATTTACTGGACTGAATAAGGAAAACATTGTTTACTTGTGAATGTACCACGAATAACGTTGCACTACTTGTTTTCATCAACTGTAAATATGTCCTTAGCACAATTTCTTGCACTTGTATTGTCTATCTTAGGTCATTCATTCATTTTCTTTCCTGCTTAGTCCCTTTATTAATCTGGGGTCGCTATTGTGAAATGAACCGCCAACTTATCCAGGATATGGTTTTTACGCAGTAGATGCCCTTCCAGCTGCAACTCATCACTGGGAAACATCCATATACACTCATTCACACACATACACTACAGACAATTTTAGCCTACACAATTCACCTTTGAACTGAGGGGGAAACCGGAGCATCCGGAGGAAACCCATGCGAAAACGGAGAGAACATGCAAACTCCACACAGAAATGCCAACTGACTCACCCGGGGCTCGAACCAGTGACCTTCATGCTGTGAAGCGATTGTGCTACCCACTGCGCCACAGTGCTGCCCGTACTATAAATTACTTTTTTTTTTTTATATTTAACTAAACCATTTATAAATTCATTCTTTAGTGTGGTATAAGAAATTTGCAAAAGATAAACAGCTAGATATGGGGTTTAAGGATGAATAATTATTTTTAAAAATTATTTTTAAATTATTTTTGCACAAACATGTTGACCTCCGAACTAATTATTACAGTCACAGACTCTGAACATAAGGTTTTTTTACACACACACATGCATCTTTTGTGTTTCTTCATTCATTTTCAGGGCTTTAACTGGACGCGCTACATCCAGGGTATCATGTCCAGCGTGTCCATTTCAGTGCAATCAGATGAGCCCATTGTTATTTACTGCTCCCCTTACCTGGAGAAGCTCAGCGAGGTCCTGTCCAAACACAGCCACAGGTAATTCTTCACTGCTATCTCAATTATGACCATCCAGAAGAAATAAATATGCCTTAAAAATAAATGAATAAATAAATAGCTCTTTGAGTCTTTGTTGTGTTCCACTTTTTTTTATCAGCGTTGTCATTGGTGCCTCTGCTGAAATTTCTAAAAGAAGAGATTAAATGAGATGTTAGTTCATGCACTGAGAAAGCACAGAGCTGTAAATTAAAGTGGATATTATAATATCTGACTGTGAACAAACTTTTTAGCTCATTTTAAAATCTTTGATTGTATAATTTTGAGCATATTTTAAAACATTGTTGACATAATCAAAGGTAACGACCACTTAAATCACATTATTGACTGGTAAACATAACTGTCTCCTTTATACTTTTCCTTTATAAACAATTAATATGTCTTAATTTGGTGCCTGCATCAAATTACATTCACAAAAGTACAATTATTAGCCCCCCTGGATAATTAGGAGGAAAGATTTTTTTCAACACATTTCTAGACATAATAGTTTTAATAACTTATTTCTAATAACTGATTTTTTAATCCCCATGATGACAGTACATAATATTTGACTAGATATTTTTCAAGACACTTCTATACAGCTTAAAGTGACATTTAAAGGCTTAACTAGGTTAATGATGTTAACTAGGCAGGTTAGGGTAATTAGGCAAGTTATTGTATAACAATGGTTTGTTCTGTAGACTATCAAAAAATATATATAGCTTAAAGGGGCTAATAATGTTGTCCTTAAATTGGTTTTTAAAAAATTTTAAACTTCTTTTATTCTAGCCGAAATAAAAAAAGGAAAAAAAAAAGGAAAAAAAGGAAAAAAAAACTCAAAGGGGGGCTAGTAATTCTGACTTCAACTGTATATTTACAGACAGAAAACATACTAATGCTTGTAAGAAAAAAATAGAACATTTTAAAGAACATTTGAGAAATGTAAAATGTCAAAATATTCATGTTTCCATCATCATTCAGCATAACACATAATGTATAGTGCTCAGCATATATGAGTACACATATGACTTCTACAGTTAAGTCCAACCCAGGCTCATTCTGAAAACGTAGTCCAGCGGACGTTTCTGGAGGCCGCGAAATACATCCCGGGAGGTACGTATGGCTGCATTTCATTTTTTTAAGCGAACGCTATGGGGCGGTGTGACGCCGTTCCTTTTCGCACTTGCCGGCTGACCGCTTACCTCCATGTGGAGGGCTTTCCCGCTGCAGTCAGTTTATTCAGTCAGCTCATCTTGTGCTTCGGCGGACTTCAGATGCAGAGAGGAGGAGTTGACAAAGGCGTCCGGGTTGAAGTCCGGGGAAGAGCGGTTCCAGAAACCAAGTAAGACAAAAACAGAATGCAAAAAATAAAGCGAACAAGTTCATAACAGGGTGAGAACGCGGTGAAATCCGAAAACGTGGTGAAAAAAAAAAAACAACGAGCGTTTTTCTTTTTCTAGACGGCTTTTCTAAATTGTTGCTCTGGTTTAGGGAATTGAGCGGGCGGGCGGGTCAATCGGTAAAACTGGTTGGGTTCAGGGAAGGAGGAGGGTGGGTCGGCCGATTGGCCGGTCGCGTAGTCAATCATTCGGTCAGTCAGACAGCGGCCTCTGGTGGGTTGATGCGAGAACAGCGCGGGCGAGAACGGCACTCGCGAGAGACATTCGAGATACGAAAAAGCGCACACAGCGGCCTCTCGTGGATTCGCGAAAACAAAAACTGCACAAATACGCACCTCTCGGGACGTATTTCGCGGTCTCCAGAAACGTCCACTGGACTACGTTTTCAGAATGAGCCTGGATTGGTTAAATCTCTGAAATGTACAGTAGATGTGATGACAGTGAATGATCTGTGTGCAACATCTTGGCAGGACTCTGCAGAACTATCTGGTGTGGATGCTGATCATGGACAGGGTCAGCAGTATGAGCCGTCGCTTCAAAGACGTGAGAGCGCACTATAGAAAGGTCAGTCACACACTGAACAAACACAAACTCATGGCATTTCACTCATAGTGCTTTTAAAAGTCCCTTTTGCTCATACGCTACGGTCTCATCACAATCGGTTTAATGTGGAATTAGATTTGGGCCAATAAAAATTTACGCAACTTAATATAATGAACAACAAAATATAAAAAATACACAATTACAAATAAAGAAAAACTATTTGAATTTGAACATATTCTTTGTTGAAAAAAGTTTTTCATATACAGTACTGTGCTAAAGTTTTAGGCCAACATTAAATCTGTTGTGTTTCTGATGGTGTAATGGATATATGTGACCCTTTACCACAGAACCAAATTGTAAATTAAACAAAAATAAAATAAAAAGTCATGAGGGTTAATTTTTGGTCATTTTTTTAAAGTGAAATTTATACAAGGTAAATAAATTATGTTTTAGTTGATGTATGGTTTGTTAGGATAAGAGTTAGGTTAGGTTAGAATTATTTTTGGAATTTATATAAGCACAGTGCATCCGGAAAGTATTCATAGCGCTTCACTTTTTCACATGTTTTATGTTACAGCCTTATTCCAAAATGAAATAAATTCATTTATTTTCTCAAAATTCTACACCCAATACCTCATAATGACAATGTGAAAAAAGAGTTTTTGAAATTGTTGCAAGTTTATTAAAAATAAAAATGCTGAAAAATCACATGTACATCAGTATTCACAGCATTTGGCGTGAAGCTCTAAATTGAGCTCAGGTACATTCTGTTTCCACTGATCATTCTTGAGATGTGTCAGCAGCTCTATTAGAGTTCAACTGTGGTCAATTAAGTTGTTTGGACATGATATGAAAAGGCGTACACCTGTCTATATAAGGTTTCAAGGTTGACGGTGCATGTCAAAGCACAAACCAAGCATGAAGACAAAGGAATTGTCTGTAGACCTCCGAGACAGGATTGACTCGAGGCACAAGGATGGGGTAGGTTACAGAAAAAGTTCTGCTGCTCTGAAAGTTCCAATGAGCACAGTGGCCTCCATCATCCGTAAGTGGAAGATGTTTGGAACCACCAGGACTCTTCCTAGAGCTGGCCGGCCATCTAAGCTGAGTGATCGGGAGAGAAGGGGCTTAGTCAGGGAGGTGATCAATAACCCGATGGTCACTCTGTCTGAGCTCCAGCGTTCTTTTGTGGAGAGAGGAGAAAATTACAGAAGGACAACCATCTGTGCAGCAATCTACCAATCAGGCCTGTATGGTAGAGTGGCCAGACGGAAGCCACTCCTGCCTGGAATTTCACAAAAGGCATCTGAAGGACTCTCAGACCATAAGAAACAAAATTCTCTGGTCTGATGAGACTAAAATTGAACTCTTTGGAGTGAACACCAGGCGTTACGTTTGGAGAAAACCAGGCAGCGCTTATCACCAGGCGAATACCATCCCAACAGTGAAGCATGGTGGTGGCAGCATTATGCTGTGGGGATGTTTTCAGCAGCAGGAACTGGAAGACTAGTCAGGATAGAGGGAAAGATGAATGCAGCAATGTACAGAGACATCCTGAATGAAAACCTTCTTCAGAGTGCTCTTGACTTCAGACTGGGGCGATGGTTCATCTTCCAGCAAGACAGTGACCCAAAGCACACCGCCAAAATGTCAATAGAGTGGCTTCACAACAACTCAGTCAATGTCCTTGAGTGGCCCAGCCAGAGCCCAGACCTAAATCCTATTAAACATCTCTGGAGAGATCTGAAAATGGCTGTACACCATCGCTTTTTATCCAACCTGATAGAGCTTGAGAGGTTCTGCAAAGAGGAATGGGCAAAAAATCCCAAAGACAGGTGTGCCAAGCGTGTGGCATCATATTCAGTAAGACTTGAGGCTGTAATTGCTGCCAAAGGTGCATCAACAAAGTATTGAGCAAAGGCTGTGAATACTGATGTACATGTGATTTTACAGGTTTTTAATTTTTTTATAAATCTGCAACAATTTCATAAAATCTTTCTTCATATTGTCATTATGGGGGATTGTATGTAGAATCTTGAGGAAATCAATTAATTTAATCCATTTTGGAATAAGGCTATAATATAAAAATTGTGGGAAAAAGTGAAGCGCTATGAATACTTTCCGAATGCACTGTATATAAGAATAAGAAGTAGATAATAACAATATTTTTTTTCTTTAACTCTAAATCTAAACTTTAGTCCCTGTTTGTGATCATTGCTCTGAGTTTGTATGTGTGCGTCTGTTCACTCAGGCTCTGCACGGCACTACAGTAGAAGAGGCTCGGTGGAGAGACTGTGTCCGATACGTTCAGGGTAACATGGAGAATGCGGTCGGAGCTCTATACGTGCGGGAAACCTTCTCTGGAAACAGCAAACGCATGGTAAAAACCAGACCCTCAGAAACAACAAACGCATGATAAACACTTGACCCCCAGAAACAGACATAACACGAACATCTTCCTTCAGCGCTTTAGATAACGAGCTGCTATCAGACTGTTCTGTGGGATTTCTGTCATCACTGTTCATTATGATGGATGAATGATCCTGGAGGACTTTGTGTAACTGCTCTGTGTACCCTTTTACATTCTTAAACCATGTTAAACTCTCACATTCTTTTACACACACTCATACACTACGGCCAATTTTAGTTCATCCAATTCACCTATAGCGCATGTGTTTGGACTATGGGGGAAATCGGAATACCTGGAAGAAACCCACACCAACATGGGGAGAACATGCAAACTCCACACAGAAATGCCAACTAACACAGCCGGGACTCGGACCAGTCACCTACTAAACACTAAACCACCGTGCCGCCCTGTTTTTATATATATATATATATATATATATATATATATATATATATATATATATATATATATATATATATATATATTAGGGATGCAACAATACGGATAGCTCACGATTCAATACATCCCTCGGTTTTTTAACACGGTTTTCGGCTCGGTTTGGTTCTCATGGCGTAAAATAAGTGTTTTTTTTGTTCTACAGGCAATAGGAACAGTAATAGGTTAAGTTGAAAAAAATAAAAACGATTTATTGCAATACTCATTTTGTTTTACTTAAAAGCCAAGAAAAGTGCACTAGTTCCTAGTGTATTGTGTAAAAAAATCAACACTGAAATCTCACAGCTGCTGGTAGCCCATGTACAAACCGGGGAACACACAAAATCCAACATTTTAAAAATAAACATACATGTAAAGGTAATAAAGATAAATTGGCCATTTCAAATAAACATATTTGTACTTAAGTAAACATAAATAAACCATCTTAATTATCTCGGTGCTGTAAAAATGCGAGGCTGTAGTCTGTAATGCGGATCGAGTGCTTTTATAAGATGACAAAAGTCCACATCTCTAATCACCGAAAACAATTCAATTCAATTCAATTCAATTCAGCTTTATTTGTATAGCGCTTTTACAATGTAGATTGTGTCAAAGCAGCTTCACATAAATGGTCATAGTAACTGGAACAGTGTGGTTCAGGAAAACAGCTGCAAATCTTTAGCAATAAACACCCGCATTGCCTTTGTTATTTTTATGTGTCTCTCGGAACCATTTTGGTTTGTTTGCTTGAAAGATTCGGCGAGGGATTGTTAATATTTGGAGGACTTTATTACCTTCTCTGCTATCCTGCCTTCAGACAGTGATATTGTATCTGATGGCGCTGCAGATGTGCAGTCATGGTTATACGTGTTATACGTTTTTCTTTTATTGGCATTATACTTACCGGGAAAACCGAAATGTCCTCACACCGCAGATTCGGGATGATATAAAACGCACACAAATTATTTATATGCAAAACCGAGAAAACCACAATTTACAAGTGCGTATTGAACCGTGAAGATCGTACCGAACGGTTCAATATTATATTGAGAACTGTGGCATCTCTAATATATATATATATATATATATTTTTTTTTTTTTTTTTTTTTTGTGTATTTCAAGTATAGTACATTCGAGAATTTAGTCATACATAATTTGTCCCTTTACAACATTTTATTCTAGATTTAAGAGATTTTTCTTAAAGTGAATGTGAAAGTGATTTTTATTTTCTGTTTAGTGAATGTGTTTTGACTTACAGAGTAGTAAAAGATTCCCCCCAAAAAACATTGGACACTAATATATCAAAAGTACAAATCTGCTGCATAAAACATATGCCAGAGTAGTTGGTGGTTCATTCCACTGTGGCAACTCCTGATAAATCAGGGACCAAGCCAAAAAAAAAACGAATGATTGAATGTCAAAAAGTGGCGCAAGAATTATGAACATGACTTTATCTAGTGTGCCAGAAATACATTTGCAAATTAGCACATATTAAATGAATTCCTCATATGCATATTTCAACATAACATTTTAGAAAACGTCTTAATTTAATGAAACAACTGTGGAAGTAACTATTAGCTAATTCTTAAACATATTCACTCGCAGTGTCTTGGCTTAAAATGAGGTAAAGCTACTTTTGTTTTCAGTTGACATCACATAGGCCTCCTGAAAAACTATAATTTATTGCCTCATCCCATCGTAAGCAATTAGTCTTGTTAATCAATTAAAACATATACCAGATTAATTAGATGATATGCAAGCTAATTAACCAAAAGTCCAATAGACTCTCAGCAGTGTTTGCTCTTCTGTTGTTTAGGTGGGAGAACTGATCAAGAAGATTCAGGAAGCTTATGTGGAAACTCTGGAGGAACTGAGCTGGATGGATGAACAGTCCAAAGTGAAGGCCAGAGAGAAGGTGAGCTTAAACAGTTATGTATTAGGCCTTTAAAGGGCAACTATGACGAAAATCTACTTTTGTAAGCTGTTTTGACAGAAGTGTGTGTAGTATAATGTGTCCACAGTCATATTGGAGTAATATAAACACAATTAGTCTCCTTTTTGAAGTTTCCTGGCATTAAAATAGGATTCAAATCCGCAACGTGACGTAGGAGTGGGGTTTTCCCCGTTCACCGAATTGATTGACAGCCGCATATTAACATGTCTCTGTAGTAACATGTGTTAACATATATAAAAGATAAGACTTGCGCAAACCAACTGTGGTTGAAAGATCTGTTCAGCTCTCTGTGATCAGCTGCAACTTAAGAATGAGTTTTATAAATTGAAAACATTTTGAAAACAGCGCATGTTTGTAATAAAGACCGTAAAATCGTTGACTTTGTAAGTTGAAAAACTGAACGCTGCACTAGCGAGAAAACAGTTAAACAAACTATCTGCAGCACAAGGAGAAAGAATGAGCCTCCTCCATTCAGCCTCTTTACTTTCTCTTCACTTTACTTTTACTCTTTACTTTACTCCTTTACTTTTGTGGAGTCAGGAAACGGTGGAAACTCACTCCACAGAAGACATCCATTAGCCTACATATTTAATTTCGTTTGTTAAGCACAAAGATTTGTTTTAAAACTATTTCTAAATTCAGTTGTAATTTCCAGCAAAATAATAAATGAACAATAATAACAAAGTGTGGTCAAAAAAACTGAGTTATATCCAAACACAAGTCATGTTATGCCCCATATGGTGATGCAGAAGTCTCCAAAACCTGACAGGTGGACAAATCTTATTTTGTTTTTATTAAAACAAATATAAATGTGCAAATAATAAATAATACAACTACTAATAATAACATTATACAAATGCAGATTATCATGAAAAAAGCACTGCCTAGGTGAAGGCATGGAGGCCGTGGTTTTCATATTCATGTAATATTAATATAATAGTATTGATTGACATTGTAATATAAAGTAACATTTTTGTAATATTTTAATCATTTAATTGTTTTCATTTGTGAAGATATTTGTGTATTGCTGTACATCCTGTGTGTATTAAGCAATGTGTTAGCGCTTGGACCTGCATAGGAGCATAACTAACACGCTCTGCATTGGATTTTAGATCAACTTTTAGTTGGTAAAAGGTGCGGTCTATTTCAGTTCTTCAAAATAACAAAGCGCCAACAAAGCCCCTTAACACACCTCCTTTCTAGACCAGAACACCCGTGAGTCCACAAAGTGGCGCAATTGGATTTGCTATTTAAACAACCTTGCAAAAAACATGAAAATTAGTGTTGGGCTGGTCTGAAAATAGTAATAAATCACGCCAAACACATCTTGCATCTTATTGTGGCGGGTGCATAAAAAGATGAAAAATGGAGCACCAGGAGGAAACCCACACCAACACAGGATGAAAATGCAAACTCCACACAGAAATGCCAACTGACCCAGCTGGGACTTGAACCAGCAACCTTCTTGCTGTGAGGCGACAGTGTTAACCATTGAGCCACTGTGTCGCCACGTAATATTATTTAAAAGAGTAACATATGCTTTTAAACTGATTATTTATTCATTTTTAATATATTTTGGGAGCCAATTATTGTTACAATTGTATTCTTTATTGTTTTTAAATATGCATTTACTGCGCTACAGTCTGAGCTTTTCTCATTTTTCACAAACTACCTGATGTTTCCCATATTTTGCAGGCCATGGCCATATCAGAACAGATTGGTTATCCCGACCACATCCTTGAAGAGGAAAATAAGAAGCTGGACCAGGAATATGCTCACGTATGGAAACTTGAGCTCTCAATAAAGCCAAATATCACTGACACACCGTAAATAAAAGCCTGTTGACAGTTTAGACAGAGGCACTTCTGTTATATGTGCTCTTATCTTTCAGCTTAATTTCAGTGAGGAAAACTACTTCGAGAACATTCTGGAAAACCTGGCAGCATCGGCTCAGAAAGGTCATAAAAAGCTGCGGGAGCCCGTGGATCCTGACATGTATGAAACATAATTAAATACTAGTTTAATAGTTTCTCTTCAGACAGAAAGGTCATGCTGTTTCACTGTTTCTCTAAATGTTTTAGGTGGATTATTGGTGCGGCAGTGGTCAACGCCTTTTACTCACACAACAGAAATCAGATTGGTAAGTTCAGCTTGCTATTAGAAATATATTCTGTGTTCTATTCACTATAAAACAGAAAATTTAAATAAAGTGGTTAGCACTATTGCATCGAAGCAGGAAGGTCACTGGTTCGAGTCCCGGCTGGGTCAGTTGGCATTTCTGTATGGAGTTTGGAGTTCTTCCCGTGTTGGTGTGGGTTTCCTCCGGGTGCTCCAGTTTCTATCCTTTCATGCACCCGGCGCGATAAGATGCACAATGTGTTTGGCGTGATTTATTACTATTTTCAGACAAGGACAACACTAATTTTCATGTTTTTTGGCACTTTGTTTAAACAGCAAATTCATTTGCGCCACTTTGTGGACTCATGTGTGTTCTGGTCTAGAAAGGAGGTGTGTAAAGGTGCATTGTTGGCGCGTTGCTATTTTAAGCAATTAAAATAGACCGCACCATTGACCAACTAAAAGTTGGTATAAAATCCAGTGCAGAGCACGTTAGTTATGCGCCTATACAGGTTTGCATGTTCTCCCTGTGTTGGTGTGGGTTTCCTCCGGGTGCTCTGGTTTTCCCCAGAGCATATGGGGAACTGTATATATATATATATATATATATATATATATATATATATATATATATATATATATATATATATATATATATATATATATATATATATATATATATACATACATATACAGTTGAAGTCAGAATTATTAGCCCCCCTGCATCATTATCACCCCTGTTTATTTTTTCCCCAATTTCTGTTTAATGGAGGGAAGATTTTTTCAGCACATTTCTAATCATAATAGCTTTAATAACTCATCTCTAATAACTGATTTATTTTATCTTTGCCATGATGACAGTAAATAATATTGTACTTGATATTTTTCAAGACAACTTCTATACAGCGTAAAGTGACATTTAAAGGCTTAACTAGGTTAATAAAGTGAACTAGGCAGGTTAGGGTAATTAGGCAAGTTATTGTATAACGATGGTTTGTTCTGTAGACTATCGAAAAAAAAATTAGCTCAAAGGGGCTAATAATTTTGTCCCAAAAATAGTTTTTAAAAAATTCAAAACTGCTTTTATTTTAGTTGAAATAAAACAAATAAGACTTTTTTTCAGAAGAAAAAATATTATCAGACATACTGTGAAAATTTCCTTGCTCTTTTAAATACCATTTAGGAAATATTTAAAAAAAGAATAAAAAAAATCAAAAGGGGGCTAATAATTCTGACTTCAACTGTATATATATATATATATATATATATATATATATATATATATATATATATATATATATATATATATATATATATATATATATATATATATATATATATATATATATATATATATATATATATATATATATATATATATATATATATATATATATATAAATAGGTTAATTAGGCAGGTAAGGGTAATTAGGTGTTATGAATATCAGCAGCAGCAGCAGATCGCTAATAAACCACAAATCCGCCAATTATGTACCACAAGATCCAGTCATGCACCACACAAACACACACAACCGGAGGATTGTCAAAGAGATTACGTGAAGTATTTATAGAGCGCACAAACAACAGTGCTAAGTCTTGTTAAACTGTATAGTGAACATTACAACGTGTTTTACCTTGCCGTGTTAGACCCTAGCTTTGTTTTAGTTGTTTATTCCTGTCTGCTGCCTGCCTTTTTGACCATCTGCCTGTTAATTGAACACAGCTCTGGATTTCCTGTAAGCATCTGTTTGTTCATGTGTTGACCATTGCTTGCCTGGCCATCCTGTTACTAAATCCTGCGTTTGGATCTTCACTCCCTTTGTCAGCGCCACCTTTGTTAATGAAGGCAAGACATTGTATGACAGTGGTTTGTTCTTTAGACAATCTAAAACAAATATTGCTTAAAAGGAGGCTAATAATATTGATCTTAAAATGGGTTACAATAATTAAAAACTGCTTTCATTTTTTTCTCCAGAGGAAAAAATATTATAGGAAATACAGTGAAAAATTCCTGAATCTGTTTAACATAATTTGGGAAATATTTAAAAAATTTAAAAATAAGTCATAGGAGGGCGAATAATTGTGACTTCAACTTTACTTCTTGGTTCTCAAAAAATGTACCCCAGGGCACATTTTCCCAATGAGCCTGTGTTGAATACTTTTCAGTACAAACAGAAAGTCCAAAATCGAAAGTACTGACATTTACTTAATAACCAAGTCTTGGTTTACCGATCAAAACAGCCAAATCTTTTCAGCTCCACCAAGTCGAGCAGCACAAAGCCATCCACAGATCTGCCCGTCAGAGCAGGTCACAGAGCCAACTAAAAGCATCATCATCCCAACGCTGTCAAGTATCTGCTCTGGTCAGGTTTCTCCTCAGCTTTTTGGAGGGCTCTCAGTGTAAATGTGTTCTCAGCCCATTGTCATAATGGCTCTAATGCCTGTAGTGCTTTTCTCTTGTAGATTAAACAAAGCTAGTTTCAGGCTCCAGTGCCCACAAAGCTGCCGCTTCCAGAGAGAGACGAGCCGCGGACGCTGTTCAGCCTGGGTTAATACCCAGATTACAAAAGCCAAGTGATTATGCAGATTTTCAGCGGGAGAAATTTCCACATAATTACTCTTAGATTGCACATTTTAATGTTCCTGGACAATCTGGGTAACACTTCAAGCTGAATTGCCATTTCGGAGACAAGAGCGGCAGCTGTAACTGCGGCAGCGTGTGTCATTTTGACATTTTGCTTTAGCCGCAGGACGCAGAAACATCTCTGTCACACACTACACACCATTAACATCACATTACAGCTTTAAAACAACAACACTTTCATTAGTTTGACTAATTCGTCCTCTAACATCATGACAAATGCCATTTCACCATATCTCAAATCACCCTTCACGTAATGCAAATGACATTTTAACCATGTCACGGAATGAAATGTCTGAAAAGGGTGAATTAATAGCTGGACATAATGTGTCCTAAATGCATGTTATATAACATAATGCAACTATTTTGCATAATTTGCTTGGCTTGATAGGACATTATTTAAAATATTAAGTGATATTTAACTTTATTTTCTCATTTTTACACTGTTTACTAATGTTCTCAAATCAAATGTCATTTTACTGAATCCTAATTCACCCTTCATCATGTAATGCAAATGGCATTTTCACCATGTTGCAGAATAAAATGTGCAACTTCTTTGCTTTGTTAAGGCTAAATTTATAGCTGGACATGATGTATCCTAAATGCACATTAATATAACAAAACTATTTTGCATAATGCACTGTAAAAAATAAATCCGTAAAATTTACGGTAAAAAGAAAAACGGCAGCTGTGGTTGCCAGTACTTTACCGTTAAAAACACGGTACAAACCATAAAAGTAATTTTTTATTTTTACGGTAAATTACCGTATTTTATTGATTTATACCACAAGCAGAAAAGAGTATCAGCATATAGAAGGTGCTCAGTGTCATTCACACAGCTACTAAACACCAGTATGGTAACGTATAAAATTAAAGTCATGAAATAAACATTGTTTATCAACATTAGATGTAACATAAATCTCTAATGTACATAACTGATGGGGAAACAACAACAAAAAATCCATATTAATGTCAACCAAATGCATAAAAAGTGATGTGCCATGCAGGGAATTCTGGGAAAGTCAATTTACTGTTATTCGTCGTATATATTAAGGAAACATACCCTTAACCAGGTTACGGATTTGTAGTGTAGCATTTTTACAGTTTTTTACCGTTGAAATTACGGCCATTTTTTACAGTGTGTGACGGCACGGTGGCTCAACGGTTAGCACTGTCGCCTCACAGAAAGAAGGTCGCTGGTTTGAGTCACGACTGAACCAGTTGGCGTTTCTGTGTGGAGTTTGCATGTTCTCCCTGTGTTGGTGTGGGTTTCCTCTGGATGCTCCGGTTTCCCCCAGAGTCAAAACACATGCGCCATAGGAAAATTGGATAAGCTAAGTTGGCCGTAGTGTATGAGAGATTACGTGTGTTTGGGTGTTTCCCAGTACTGGGTTGCGGCTGGAAGGGCAACGGCTGCGTAACATACCGGAATAGTTGATGATATACAGTGTTGGGTAAGTTACTTTAAAAAAGTAATCAATTACAATTTAATGATTATTACTGGAAAATTGCAATCTGATTACATTACTGATTATTTCATGGAAGAAGTAATCAGATTACTGATTACTTTAAAGTTACTTTAAAAACATATAAAATATACCTATAATAGTACTAAATACAGCAGTGGTTCTCAAAGTGGGGGTCGGGACCCCCCCAAGGCGTCGTGGGACAATGAAGGGGGGTCGCCTGGTGATTTCCAAAAATCTATTTATTTTTATTAAACCATAAGAATTACCATATTTTATCCATAACCTACTGAAAAGAAAAAATAGTCGTTTATAGTTACTATATAGGCTACTACTATACAGTATATAGTTACTATAGTAGCTTATAGTTACTAATTCTATTGGATTTCGATCGCTGGATAATTACATTATATTAAAGACACAGCAATAGCTTCAGATGCAGCAGATTGATCACCAGGTTAAGTTTTCTGGTCCATTTACAGCCCTAACATACATAAAAAAATCTACGAAGAATAAACTTTGGTCTATTGGTGTGTGTGCACCATTGCATGCAAAGTTTCAGTATTTATAACCACCTCAGAGGATATTGGGGGTCGCGAGCCACTGGCATTGTTATTTTGGGGGTCGCGAGCTGAAAAGTTTGAGAACCCCTGAAATACAGTACAGCTCTTTCAGTAATTTAATATTCACTGAAAAACATTACAATGGGTTGACCATAGCAGCTTGACAAAGACACGACATGTGAACAGCCCCATCAGCAGCTACACTTCTCTTTACATTCAGAAGATTTTTCACTTCTTTTCACTACCGATCCAGCACAAAAATCCAATTTAACCTGTTTAGGTTGAGTTGGACCACTGTGTTTTTGGGTGCCAGTGTCCCTCTTGGTGACGATCATTGTGTTAGAATGCAAGGGCTTGAACAAGTTGCTGGTCGGGTTAAAAGCATTCGAAAGTTCTTTAGAGACTGGACATACACTGAATTTCACTAGACCTACACACATGTCTGTCCAAACAGCTTGAAAAGTAGATTTTTCCCCATAGATGCCCTTTAACTGACATTAACTACTACAGCCTTATTGTTAAGTGTTACTAGTTCCTTTAGTTAAGTACATCCAGGAGGTTGTTATCTCAGAATAAAGTCAACAGGTTTATCAGCAGCCCGACACGAAGCAGAGCAATGTTGTATGAGACTGAAGGGCTTTATTTTGTGAAAACAACCATTCTGGATGTACTTTATTCTGCTTATCACATGACTACTTGCTAAAAAACTTTGTTCTGAGCCGTAATTATTTAATAATTCTTTAATTAAGTGCAAAGCTGACAAAAACAAAAACAGCTGATGGAGTATACACTAACCTGCGCATGATTCAGACACAAGATGGAGACAAACAGTCAAAAACACAAAGCTGACAGAAACAAAAACAGCAGATGGAGTATACACTAACTTGCGCATTATTCAGACTCAAGATGGCACCAAACAGTTAAAAAAAGTGGCAGAAACTAAAACAGCTGATGGAGTATACACTAACCTGCCCATTATTTAGACTCAAGATGGCACCAAAATGTCAAAAACTATGGCAGAAACTAAAACAGCTGATGGAGTATACACTAACCTGCCCATTATTTAGACTCAAGATGGCACCAAAATGTCAAAAACTATGGCAGAAACTAAAACAGCTGATGGAGTATACACTAGCCTGCCCATTATTTAGACTCAAGATGGCACCAAACAGTCAAAAACACAAAACTGGCAGAAACAAAAACAGCTGATGGAAAATATACTAACCTATGTATTATTAATTCACAAGACGGCACCAAGCAGTCAAAAACCACAACATGACAGACAAGTAGATACATTTAAATTCACATTCTGAAGTTTTTTTACTTTCTTTCACTCCCGATCCTGCACAAAAATCCAATTTAACCTGTTTAGGTTGAGTTGGACCACTGTGTTTTGGGGTGCCGGTGTTCTGCATAGTGGTCTTAGGATGCTTTCTGTTCAAATGCTTGAACAAGTTGCTGGTCAAGTTAAAAGCATTTGAAAGTTCTTTAGAGACCAGACATACACTGAATTTCACAATATTTTAGTTTTTTACGCTCAATGAAATCAATGTAATATCTGTACTTCCACTTAAAGAAGCAGCCGCTCCCGACAGCAGCTGTTTCAGCTCGCAGTCTCCAGCAATTTAAAAGTGCATCCATGCTTATTAACTGACACTGCAGCGGAAAACGTGATTTAAAAGGAGCATTTTATCTTCTAAATATTATACCTTTTTAACGGAAGTAACGCAATTACATTGATTTTAGTTACTGTAATTAAATTACACAAATGTAAAATGTAATTCATTAGATTACTGCGTTCCTCAAAACTGTAATTAGATTACAGCAATGCGATACATTCCCCTGTTGCGATCTCTGAAATACAGACTAAGCCAAAGGGAATTGAATGAATAAATAAATTTTGCATAATTTCTTAGCTTGATTTTACTTTATTCACAATAAAAATATTTTGTCATATTGTTCTTTATTTTCCCATTTTTTTTAAATCGACACACTCACAAGGTTTATAAATGATCTGAAATCAAATGTCAATATTAAATCACCATTCATGCTGTGATGGAAATGACATGTTTAAACATATGAAGAATAGACTTGCTTGTCTTCAAGATACATCATATGCATCTTAAATGCACAGTTATATATTATTCATTCATTTTCCTTCGGCTTAGTCCCTTTATTTATCAGGGATTGCCACAGTGTAATGAACTGCCAACATATCGAGCATATGTTTTTTACAAAGCGTTGCACCCTTCCAGCTGCAACCCAGTACTGGGAGAAACACATACACACTCATTCACACACATACACTATGGCCAATTCAGTTAATTAAATTCCCCTAGTGCATGGGTTTGGACTGTTAGGGAAACCGGAGCACCCGGAGGAGAACATGCAAACTCCACACAGAAATGCCAACTGGCCCAGCCAGGGCTCGAACCAGCGACCTTCTTTCTGTAAGGCGATTATGCTACCCTCTGCGCCATCGTAACACCCATATTTTAAACATCAGGGAAATAAACTTGTTTGTCTTGATAAGACTAATTTCATAGCTGGAAATAAAGCATCTTAAATGCACACAGTTATATATATATATATATATATATAATATACTAAAATATTTAGCATTTGCTTTGCTTGATTGGAAATTATACACAGCAAAAATAGTGATATTTACTTTAATTTTCTCATTTATTATAATGTTTCTCTCACTCGGTTTTCTAAATAAGTTCTGAAGTGTTGCTTTTCTAAACCAATGAATGACATACCATAAAATCTTAATTAAACATTCATGCCGTGATGAAAATAATGCACTCACATAATTATGTTTTAAAATGTAAATTGCACAGAAATTGTAGTATTGTTCTAATATTTATCAAGTGACTGTAAAACAAAGGGTGCTGGAAAACGGAGTTGAAGATCACCGTGCAGTTTATTTGCAAGATTAGTCAGGCAGGCAACGATCAAACTGGGGAAACAGATGCATACAGGGATAACCAGAATCGTGGTAGAAACAGGTGAATGGTCAGTACAGGTGGCAAGGAATCAAAACGATGAAACAAGGCAAAGGGTCAAAACACGGCTAGGCTAGACAAGACAAGAAAACACTTTGTAGTGCTGCAGGATAACAAGACTAAGCAAAGTCTGTGTGTTTGTGTGCTGTATGTATGGTCCATGTAATCAGTCCTTGAACAGCTCGCAGCTGTGTGTGTAATCAAAGACGAACGGGAACAGGTGTGAGTGTGTGGTGCATGACAGGATTTGTAGTTCCTTTGGTGGCAGATTTGTAGTTCTTCAGTGATCTGTATGAACTAAATCTCTGGTGATTGTGACAGTGATGTTTAAAGGAGCAAGGAAATCACAACTTTTCTTCTGGAGAAAGTCTTATTTCTTTTAGTTTGGCATAATCCCAACAGAGACACGAAGAGAGGGTGGTACATGGTGTAGCCCCTCCCCTTTTATAAAACAGCCAATGTCGCTTTGTTTTACCACCGCTCTGGCTATGGCTTAAATGTGATTTTTAGAACGAAAATGAGTTAGATTTGACAAAGTCAACCTCTGTAACATACAGTATAAGTGTCCAAAGTTAACACTCTATTAAAACGAGTCAGTCTGGCATTTCCTGGTCAATTATCCATGCATTATGCTGAATTTCATCTCTTTCTATGCATCTTTTTCTTTCTTTCTTTCAGTGTTTCCTGCTGGCATCCTTCAGCCTCCGTTCTTCAGTGAGAAACAGCTGCAAGCTCTAAACTTTGGAGGAATCGGGATGGTTATAGGACATGAAATCACTCATGGATTTGATGATCACGGTAATATGCATCTCATCTGATGGACTGTACCAGTTAAATGTTTAATTTTAATGCTTTAACATGTTAAATTTAATGTTCAATATTTTATAATGCTCATTAAAACAATTAAAATGTAATGTTTGACTCTAACTTAAAGCACTAAAAGAGTTTAATTTCTATCTTCTATGTTTTGAGATTTATATGGATTTTAAGCAGTACTGAGTCAAGTAATTAAATTAAATACAAAGTAATTAAATACAATTGTAATAATGTAATTTGTAAATAAATATAAATTCTGTACAGGTATAACTTAGTTTATGTTATAAAAACTTTAACTAACATTATTACATGGCTCTCTGGAATACTCCAATCGGATCAGTCAGTCGCGACATTGCAAAGTAAGTTATTCCCAGAAAACAACCATTGAAAAACACCGGCTGATCAGGGAACTACAAATTATCTTGATCGTCTGTAAATACGTTCAAATCCATATACTTACATTCACATTCAAATGTATCTACTTGTCTGTCATGCTGTGGTTTTTGACTGTTTGGTGCCATCTTGTGAATTAATAATACATAGGTTAGTATATTTTCCATCAGCTGTTTTTGTTTCTGCCAGTTTTGTGTTTTTGACTGTTTGGTGCCATCTTGAGTCTAAATAATGTGCAGGTTAGTGTATACTCCATCAGCTGTTTTAGTTTCTGCCAGTGTTTTTGACTGTTTGGCACCATCTTGTGTCTGAATAATGCGCAGGTTAGTGTATACTCCATCAGCTGTTTTCGTTTCTGTCAGCTTTGTGTTCTTGACTGTTTGACGCCATCTTGTGTCTGAATAATGCGCAGGTTAGTGTATACTCCATCAGCTGTTTTAGTGTCTGTCAGCTTTGTGTTTTGACTGTTTGACGCCATCTTGTGTCTGAATAATGCGCAGGTTAGTGTATACTCCATCAGCTGTTTTAGTTTCTGCCAGTGTTTTTGACTGTTTGGTGCCATCTTGTGTCTGAATAATGCGCAGGTAAGTGTATACTCCATCAGCTGTTTTAGTGTCTGTCAGCTTTGTGTTTTGACTGTTTGATGCCATCTTGTGTCTGAATAATGCACAGGTTAGTGTATACTCCATCAGCTGTTTAAGTGTCTGTCAGTTTTGTGTTTTTGACTGTTTGGCGCCATCTTGTGTCTGAATAATGCGCAGGTTAGTGTATACTCCATCAGCTGTTTTAGTGTCTGTCAGCTTTGTGTTTTGACTGTTTGATGCCATCTTGTGTCTGAATAATGCACAGGTTAGTGTATACTCCATCAGCTGTTTTCGTTTCTGTCATGTAGTAGACATGAAATGGTTAACGTGTCACGTGATTGTGGTGGAGGGTCACCGGGTTACGTAGTGCGCTTATAGGTGGCACCTGTTCATTCACAACTTAGGAAGGAGAGAGAGAGGGGGTGAACGGGGACGCGGTACTCTTTGTTGACCAAACAAACACAAACAGGCTCAAACGAAATCAAGCTTAAGCCCAAATCAAAGTCTACACTGTCAAAAGATCAAGGTATGTTTTATATTGGAAAATAAACGAGTGATGACATTTGAACGACTTCTTGCCTTGTGTACATTTGATGTTTGCGTCACAAAACATGTCTCTGGTTTAGCCTCTCAGCTGTTACTTCACGTAGCCGCTACATTATGTCAACAAAGACTGTTTGCTGGCGACGCATCATCGGACGCATGATTGAACTTCGCGCTAAAGAGTGTAAGATTCTGCACGATTGGAGAGAGAATCCTACAGCTGAAGGAATTGCAACGCAAACTGAAACCTATTCTGTGGCACAAACATCGCTAAGAAGGTAAGCCTGTTTGGCTTTCGCTCGCACAGCTGTGCAGTTTGGTTGGACGCAGTTGTTTACGTTTGTTTATCCATTGGGGATATTCGCGGTGTTTGTTGTTTGTTTCCGGTTGTTTTGTCCAGAGCTCTGGTGTTGGCAGTTTGTTGTTGGCTGTTTGTTCGTTGGTGTAATGCCGCGATGTTTGTGAAGTTCGTGCGTCGTTGTGATGTTATTGGAGGATTTTATTGAATGAAGTATCGTTGGCTTGCTGGAAAAAAAAAAACATGAATGAAGCGGGTGTTGATGACGTCACTGGTTTGGAAGTGGATGGCAGTAAAAGGCACACTAAATTAACTGCAAAGGCTTTGTCAAATAAAATTGAGGGTCTTCAAAAAGAAAGGAAGAAGAAAGTGAATCACATTAAAGGGCTCATACCAGAGATTAAATCTTTGATGCACAAAAGGGAAAATGCCTCCAAAGTGCAACACATGTTTAAGAATCTTCTTCAACTTTGTGAAAATGCCAGTGAACATCATAATGCTGTACTTTCGCTACTTCCAGAAGATGAACAGGAAAAACAAAATGAATGGTTTTTGAGTATCATGAAATATTGTGAAACATTTAAGGATGCTGTTCAATGCTGGTTAAGTGGATCAGAGGAGATTGAAGACAACTCAGATGAAGTTGATGCTGGAGTAATGCAAGAAGATTGCTCTAATTCACAGGTCCCAGTCTATGTTACATCTATTACCACATCAGATGAAATACAAGATGATGTAAAACCCACTGACAGCGTGTCTAATATTGACAGTAAAACTTCCAGAAATCAAAATTCAATTGCTGATAATGGTTCTTTGGTATCATCTACTTCTTCAGTTCGTCTCAAAGCAGAGTCTGAGTTGGCTGCATTAAAGGCACGTCAAAAAATGTTAAAAGATAAACATGAGCTGGAGGATCAACAGGAGCAACTACGAAAAAAGAAGGAACAATTAATATTGCAAGAAGAAATTGAAGTGCAAATGGCTAAATTAAATGTCTTGAAATCTCAAAGTGTGTCAAGTTCAAAGTCTGATCGTTCAAGAGGGAAACATTCCAGTTTGGAGCAAAAACAAAGGAAAACGCTAGGTCTTAATGCCAGTGCTAAAGCATTTGTACCCCAAAGGTGTGTAAGTGAATTATTTCAAGATCGAGAGAACACTGGAGCAAAGCCTAAAGAGAAAACTGTACAACATCAAACTTTGCAGTCTTATCAAGTGGAACATCAATCATCTAGACACCAAACTGAAGAGCATAGAGGGCAAAGAAATGTTATGAATTCACATGTTCAAAACTCTGACGAACAAGGTAACATAATGGGCATCATGAGAAAGCAAAATGAAATAACATCATTACTGTTGAAACAACAATGTTTATCATCCTTACCCAAAAGAGATCTGGAAGTGTTTGATGGCGATCCTCTACAGTATCATGCATTCATAAGAGCCTTTGAAAACAGTGTTGAAAGCAAGACTGATAACAACAGTGATCGCTTGTATTTTCTTGAACAATATACTATGGGTCTTCCAAGAGAGTTGGTACAGAGTTGTCAATATATTGATCCGAACAGGGGATATGTTAGAGCTAAAGTCTTGTTACAGGAGCATTTTGGCAATGAGCAGAAGGTGGCATCTGCTTATATGAATAAAGCTCTATCATGGCCTCAAATTAAAACTGAGGATGTTGATGCACTGCAAGAATACACTCTATTTCTTAGAGGTTGTAGTAATGTTATGAATGAGGTGCAATACATGTGTGATCTGGACATGCCTTCTAACATGATGATAATTATCAAAAAATTGCCATACAGACTCAGAGACAAATGGAGAACTGTTGTTTGTGAACTGCAAGAAAGACGTAATTGCAGAGCTTCATTCACTGATGTTGTGAAATTTCTGGAACATCAAGTCAAAATTATAACTGACCCAGTGTTTGGAAATATACAGGATGTACCCTCAAATGAAATGAGAAAAAATGTGAAAAGATCTAAATTGTTTTCTCGTCCTGGTATAAGAGGAACCAGCTTTGCTACCACTGTAGATGCTGTAAAGAAAGAAAGTGATTCCTGTTGTATAGAGAAAAAAGATGTGACGTTGGATAAGAAAAGATGTCTCTGCTGTAATGGTGCACACACATTGGAAGTGTGTCCTCAATTTGGTAAACAATCTCACAAAGAGAAGATTGGCTTCTTAAAAGAAAGTGAGGTTTGTTTTGGCTGTTTGGGCATTGGGCACATTAGTAAGACATGTAGGAAACGTCTTCATTGTAATGTTTGTGGTCTTCGACATCCTACTGTACTGCACATCTTTTCTAAAGAAAAAGACACACAGGATATAACAGACAAGAAGTCAAAAACAGCAGTAGATGGTGTATTAGTATCTAGTGGTCTTACTGGGGCTGGCGATCAGGACTGTAAACTCCCAATAGTTCCTGTACAGATAAAGTCTAAAAAAGGAAGCAAAGTTGTTACTGCTTATGCTTTTTTGGATCAAGGGAGTACAGCTGTGTTTTGCACAGAGAGTTTAATGAGGAAGCTCAACCTCACAGGAACTAAAGTTCGGATACTTTTAAGAACTATGGGGCAAGAAAAGGTGGTATCTACTCATGTTCTGTCAGGAATGGAGGTAGCTGGCTTGAATGGAGATGAATTCTGTGACTTGCATCAGGTTTACACACAGGAAAGTATGCCTGTTCACAAAGGAAATATTCCCAGACAAAGAGATATTCAAAGGTGGCCTTATTTGAAGAATGTCAATTTGCCTGAGATTGATGCAGGAATTGAGCTGTTGATTGGTACAAATGTTCCTAAAGCATTGGAACCACTGGATGTAATCCGCAGTGTAGATAATGGGCCGTATGCTATCAGGACAATGTTGGGCTGGACAGTGAATGGACCGCTCGGTGGAAATGGTGAGCATATGTCAGTTGATGCACAGCCAAATGTCACGGTCAACCGAATTTCAGTGGTGAAGTTGGAAGATATGTGGCAGCAGCAGTTTAAAATGGACTTTCCAGAATGCAAAAATGAGGAGCAAATTGGCTATTCAAAGGAGGATCAAAAATTTATGGATATGGTATCAAATTCGGCCAAGCTTGTTGATGGGCATTATGAAATTGGCTTGCCTTTGAGAGAAAATATCAATATGCCAAACAATCGGAAAGTTGTAGAGCAACGTGCCTCACATCTAAAGAAGAGATTTCAAAAGTGTTCTACATTTTTTGCTGACTATAAGGCTGTCATGAGTGATATGGTCTTCAAAGGCTATGCAGAAAAAGTGCCTGTAGAGGAGATGACTCGTGGAGATGGTAAAATTTGGTATCTTCCACATCATGGTGTTTACCACCCCACCAAGAATAAAATCCGTGTGGTGTTCGATTGTGGAGCAGGGTTTCAACAAGCATCACTTAATGCTCAGCTTTTGCAAGGACCAGACCTCACTAGTTCGCTTGTTGGAGTAGTAACAAGATTTCGAAAGGAGCCAATAGTAATTACAGCAGATGTCGAATCAATGTTTCATCAAGTAAAAGTGCCTGCTGATGATGTTGATTTATTAAGGTTTCTTTGGTGGCCAGATGGGGATTTGGGACGAGATCCAGTTGACTTTAGGATGCTGGTACACCTCTTTGGAGCTACATCATCTCCTAGTTGCGCAAACTTTGCGCTTAGAAAATGTGCAGAAGATCATAAGGAACAATTCAGCAAGGAAACAGTAGAAGCTGTTCTACATTCCTTTTATGTTGACGACTGTCTTGTTTCAGTCGCTTCAGTTGAACAAGCAAAAACCTTGTACCAGGAGCTTGTATCCATATGTGCTAAGGGTGGATTTAAGCTAACAAAATGGATAAGCAACAGTCTTCAAGTGTTAGATGCTATTCCAGAAGCTGAGAGATCAAAGTCAATGAAAGACTTGAGAATGGATTGGGATTCTCCTTCAGTAGAGAAAGTGTTGGGAGTGCAGTGGTGCATCCAGTCAGATGTATTCAAGTTCAAGGTAGCATTGAAAGAAAGTCCTTTAACCAGAAGAGGTGTATTATCTACAATTAGTTCCATCTACGATCCTTTGGGAATTGTTAGCCCAGTGGTATTGTCAGCTAAGAAAATATTACAGGAACTCTGTAGAAAAAATCTGGGATGGGACGATGCTTTGCCTGATGTATTTGCTCAAAGGTGGACCAGCTGGCTTCAAGAGCTTCATTATTTGGAGTGCTTTGAAGTTGCTAGATGTTTGAAACCTCCAGATTTTGGAGATATTGTTAAGGCACAGTTACATCATTTTTCGGATGCGAGTGAAGAAGGATATGGAACTGTATCATACTTGTTGCTGCATAATGAACATTTTCAATCTCATTGCACTTTTATAATGGGGAAATCTAGAGTAGCCCCAATGAAGTGTGTTACAATTCCTCGCATGGAGCTCATTGCTGCTACCATGGCTAGCCGAATGGATGTGTTATGGAAGAAAGAACTGCATTTGCAGCTCCAAGATTCTGTCTTTTGGACAGACAGTGCTTCTGTTCTTAAGTATATTAAGAATGAGACTACTCGATTCAGAGTATTTGTAGCCAACCGGGTGACTGAGATTCTTAAGGTTTCACATGCTTCACAGTGGAGGTACATAGATTCAGCAAGAAATCCGGCAGATGTTGCTTCCAGAGGATCAGCTGTTGATGTGTTCCTTAAGAACAAAACATGGACAGCAGGTCCTGACTTTCTTCTTCATCCTGAAAGTGAGTGGCCTGTTAACCTCAATGAACTTGAAAGGCTCAAAGACGACGATTCTGAAATCAAAAAAGGCGTTGAGATTAATTCTATACAGCTCAGAGGAGAGGATGGTGCTGTCACACAATTAATTAATCACTTTTCTTCTTGGTTCCGCTTGAAGAAAGCAGTAGCTTGGATTTTGAGATTTAAGAATCTACTTTTGTCCCTTAGTCGTAAGAGGAAACAATTGAGAACTGCTTTTGATGATTCGAATTTGAATGAACAACATAGTACCTCTTTGGAAAAAGAAATGGAGAACTTCAAAAGCCAACTTGTACAACCGTACCTGTCTCTAGAAGAGCTTGAGATGGCTGAAGTGGAGATTATCAGACATTCTCAAGAGAAGGCGTTTTCTGATGAAATTGCTAGTCTGAAAGTCGGTGAAAGTATAAAGAAGAGTAGCTATCTTTATCGACTTTGTCCCATTTTTGACAATGTTCTGCGGGTTGGAGGACGCTTAAGTAGGGCATCAATGCCTGAAGATTCTAAACATCCAATCATCCTGCCAAAAAATTCTCACATTGCAGAAATTCTGTTGCAACATATCCACAAAGAAGTAGGTCATGGTGGCCGCAATTATATGCTGTCGAAATTGCGGCAGAAATATTGGATTACTGGTGTGAGTACTGCAATAAGAAGAGTATTGTCAAAGTGTGTTACTTGTAGAAGATTGAATGCACTTCCAGGATGTCAACAGATGGGAGATTTACCATCGGAGAGAGTCACTCCCAATGAACCACCATTTACACGTGTAGGGGTAGATTACTTTGGACCCTTTAATGTAAAAAGCAGAAGAAGTGTAGTGAAAAGATATGGAGTTATTTTCACTTGTTTGGCCATTCGAGCAGTACATATCGAAGTAGCACCTTCCTTGGATACTGATTCCTTTATAAATGCACTTCGCCGTTTCATTGCACGACGTGGTCAAGTGCAGGAAATTCGATCAGATAATGGAAGGAACTTTGTTGGAGCCGAACAAGAACTACGAGTTGCCATAAAGGAATGGAATCAGTGTAAGATCAACAATGTTCTTCTGCAGAAAGGTATCAAGTGGACATTTAATCCCCCTACTGGATCACATTATGGTGGAGTTTGGGAGAGATTAATTAGATCTGTGAGAAAAATCCTAAATTCTACCTTGAAGTCGCAGAATCTGGATGAAGAAGGACTTCAAACGGTATTGTGTGAAGTGGAGGCTATTATTAATAGTCGTCCAATAACCAAAGCATCCACTGACCAAACGGATTTAGAAGCGTTAACACCGAATCATCTGCTACTTCTGAGGACTTCTCCATCCTTACCACCAGGACAATTTAAGAAGGACGAAGTATATGCTCGTAAACGATGGAGACAGGTACAGTACATGTCAGATTTGTTCTGGAAAAGGTGGGTACTGGAGTACCTAACACAGCTTCAAGAGCGTCAAAAATGGTTAAAAGTCAAGCGCAACTTGAAAGTAGGAGACATAGTGCTTCTAGTTGACAACACAGCACCTCGGAACTCATGGCCGCTAGGACGTATAATTCAAACCTTTCCTGACAAAAGAGGATTTGTCCGTCATGTACAAGTGAAGACCAAATACAGCTGTCTCGACAGACCAATAACAAAACTCTGTCTTCTACAAGAAACGGAAGACGATATAACATGAACACTTTTTGTTTTCCCTTGAAGCAAGAAGGATCAAGAATTTTCCCTTTTGAATGTTTTCATGTCTCTATTTATATTAATGTAATTATTATGTAATAATTAGGGGCTGGATTGTAGTAGACATGAAATGGTTAACGTGTCACGTGATTGTGGTGGAGGGTCACCGGGTTACGTAGTGCGCTTATAGGTGGCACCTGTTCATTCACAACTTAGGAAGGAGAGAGAGAGGGGGTGAACGGGGACGCGGTACTCTTTGTTGACCAAACAAACACAAACAGGCTCAAACGAAATCAAGCTTAAGCCCAAATCAAAGTCTACACTGTCAAAAGATCAAGGTATGTTTTATATTGGAAAATAAACGAGTGATGACATTTGAACGACTTCTTGCCTTGTGTACATTTGATGTTTGCGTCACAAAACATGTCTCTGGTTTAGCCTCTCAGCTGTTACTTCACGTAGCCGCTACATGTCAGTTTTGTGTTTTTGACTGTTTGGCACCATCTTGTGTCTGAATAATGCGCAGGTTAGTGTATACTCCATCAGCTGTTTTCGTTTCTGTCAGTTTTGTGTTTTTGACTGTTTGGCACCATCTTGAGTCTGAATAATGCGCAGGTTAGTGTATACCCCCTCAGCTGTTTTAATGTCTGTCAGCTTTGTATTTTGACTGTTTGACGCCATCTTGTGTCTGAATCATGCGCAGGTTAGTGTATACTCCATCAGCTGTTTTTGTTTCTGTCAGCTTTGTACTTAATTAAAGAATAAATAAACTATTACGACACAGAACAATGTTTTGTGGCAAGTAGTCATGTAATAAGCAGAATAAAGTACATCCAGAATGGTTGTTTTCACAAAATAAAGCCCTTCAGTCTTATACAACATTGCTCTGCTTCGTGTCAGGCTGCTGATAAACCTGTCGGGCTTTATTCTGATATAACAACCTCCTGCATGTACTTAACTAAAGGAACTAGTAACACTTAACAATAAGGCTCTATTAGTTAATGTTAGAAAATTGATTTTACTAAGACGAACAAAGTAAAATACATTTCTTACAATTTTTATTACATTTTGTTAATGTTAAATAAATAAAGTTGTCCACCATTAGTTCGTGTTATTGTTAGCAAGCATGAATATGGATTTTAATGACGCATCAGTAAATGATGAATTAATGATGAGTAAATAAAAAATATTTCCATAGGCCGTAATTTTGACAAGGATGGAAACATGTATAACTGGTGGAGCAACTACTCTGCTGAACGCTTCGAGGATCAGTCTAAATGCATGGTGGAGCAGTACGGCAGATTCAGCTGGAAACTTGCAGGAGGCCAAAATGTAAGTTAAAACTGGCCCGGTGTGATGGAAAGAATCTGTACACAAACTTCTTAAAACAAACGAAATTAACCAATGTTATGTTTGTACTCGCAGTGCGTGTAGTTAGTGCATACTTTGGGTCAGATTTGAAACATTTCCACTGCTCTAAAAAAGATTAATAATGAGTGAGATCTTAATCAGCTCTTCAAGACAGCAATGAAAATAAATGCAGAGTATTATGACTTTAGCTGTCATAAAAGCACTCAAATGTAGGGCAAGCAAAAATAATCTGCATGATTACATTTCTAACCACTAAAATCTGATGGAACTTAAAAACAAGAAAGCTATGCTTATTTATACTAAAAAGTTTCACGTTTTGCAAGATTTAAAAGCATTCAGTGATTATTTTGGTAAATGTTCTGGAACGGTAGGTTTTTTCAAATGTGATTTCAAAAGAGGGTTTCTGTACGGTGGCCGGGAAGTGCAAAACAACATTACAAAGTTTGAAACACTTTTACAAAGCTCGAAACAAATTTACATTTTAGAAAACAAATTAACAAGACACAAAACACTTTTACAAATCCCGAGACAAATTTACAATTACAGATTTCTTATGGAAAGGGAATGTACCACACAACGGAAGTGACGTAGAATGTACCACACACCAGAATGGTGTGACCCGGAATGTAACACACACACTGGAAAATAACAATAATATCCAGCTCATGTGTGACTTTGTAGACAGGTTTCCACAAGTCTACAACTTAAAAACTCATGGTTTGACTAACTGTGATAAAACATATTAGAGCTATTCTGAGAAAATATAGAAACGTAGAAACATGTAAATGCAAGTACGATAGACACTCCAAAATCTGTTTTTTTCCCCTCCCTCGTAGGTCTATTTAGGGTGTATATAGGCTAAGTGCAAATAGCGCACTTCGTTGGAAAGAGCTAGTTGGGTGATTTCCGCCCATCACCCTCTGTTTGACCGAGACAACATAACTAAAGGGAGCGACAAACAGCAGCGTGAGTGGCGTAGCTCGTGAAACGCATGGCAACATGCTATGACACGATTGATCATGAACCCAGTCATGAACCGGTCATGGACTACCATACTGTATATATATATATATATATATATATATATATATATATATATATATATATATATACACACACACACACACACACACACACACAATCAAATATATATATATATATATATATATATATATATATATATATATATATATATATATAGATACATAGATACAAATATAATTTTTTACTGATGCTTGTTCTAAACATGTTGTTTTGGTATATAAACTATTATTACACATTTGTCTGTAAATCATAGTAAAAATCACTATGCAAAAAACATATTAAACATAAACATAAAATATTGTCATTGCAGGTCAGTGGTATTACGACATTAGGAGAAAACATCGCTGACAACGGTGGAGTTCGTCAAGCTTATAAGGTTTGTCTTAGGGCCTACTCACACTATGCCATCCGTACCGTGCCCAGGCCCGTTTCCCGGATCCTTTGAGAAGTGTGAGTGCACTGAATCGGGCTCAAGCACGGTTCAATTGGCCGGCCCTGGCCCGGTTGGAAGAGGTGTGCCTGAGCGCGGTTCACTTGGGCTTTGGCGCGATACACTTGTGTGTGAGTGCAAAATGCACCAAAGCCTGAAACTGAAATGCGAGACGTGACTTTTAAGGGGCTGTTTCATATGGATTTATTAATCATTCTTACTGTTCAGTGAATGCAAACTGCCGCAGTTTATTAAAGACGCAAACTCCTCACAGCACGACAGCTGCGCGCCTTCAGCAGACCTCCTCATTCCTGCAGCACGAGGGCTTTATGATTGTTTATGAGCACCAAAAGTGACGGATCTGTTCGGCGAAATATCTGACTGCGTGTCCCCACATCCCTAAGGACTGTTTGGCGAAATATTTGACTGCATGTCAAACAACTGAAACGATATAACTAGAAAAATCTCCACTGTGCTGCTGAGTGAGAGAGCACTTCTCACTGAACAGCGCAGCAGTGATGACGTAAGCGTGCCGAAGCCCGTTTGTGGTGTGAGCGCGGGCCGTCGGGGGAGACGGGAGGGGGGACAAGCGTGCTTTGGCCCGGTTCGAGGCAACTGTACCTAGTGTGAGTACGGCCTTATTAATTTCCTTAAAGGGGACCTATTATGTGCCTAATTTCAAAATGTAAAATAAGTCAATGTAAATCCCATGTGTATTCTGTATACTATATCTGTAAGAAGGCGATGAGAATACACATATTTACACTATACAACCAGAATTATTTAAGGGGGACCTATTTTGCGTCTTTTTACAAGATCTAAAATAAGTCTCTGATGTCCCCAGAGTGTTTATGTGAAGTTTCAGCTCACAAATAATGCTTTATAACTCTCTGAAACTGACCCTTTTAGGCTTTGATCTTAATTGTGTAATTTTGGTGACTGTTGCTTTAAATTTAAATGAGATTGTGCTCTTTTCATAAGAGGGCAGAGCTACAAATGCCTGTGTGTCAGCATAGTGGCACATTCAAAAACAAGACTAAAGTCCTCTGCTAATGTGGGAGAAATCATCACTAGTGGGCGGGGCTTTCCCCCTCTGATGACACGTACAAAGGGAGAATGTCAATCAAAGTGTTCCTGCAGACAGTTTTTATCAAGTGTGATTATGTTTACCATTAGAAGCTGGTGTAATATTTACAGACTGTTGCCACACAACTGTGTTTAAACCCCTTATAATAGTGACTTTTGCATAATAGCTTCCCTTTAATAAACAGCCACATTAAAATGTCTATGATTATGATGTGTGTGCATGTTTTAGGCGTATGTAAAGTGGGTGGAGAGGGAAGGCGAGGAGCCCCGTCTTCCCGGACTGGATATGAATCACAAACAGCTCTTCTTTCTGAACTTTGCTCAGGTATTTGACCATGAATCATATCTACAGTACTTTAAGATGCCCGCTAGTGTTCACCGTGAAAGGTCAATTGAAACTGGTGCAAAAATAAATCCCAACAGGCTCTCTAATATGTGCTCGAGGCATGAAATCAGTGATTGAATCGTGTCATCCGGGGCAATGAGCACTGCTTTAAAGCACTGGGATTTGAAATGTCATTATTTGGATAAGCATATTTCAGAAAAGTGCATTGAAGTAAACAAGCGATGTTTTTTGCAGAATGACATTCATCCTTAAAGGGGTAGTTCACTCTAAAACAGAGTATTATGTCATCATTTACTCATTCTTTACTTGTTTTCTGAACATTTTTGAGTTTCTATCATCTGGTGAACACAAAGGCAGATATTTTGAAGAATGTTGGAAACATGTAACCATTGACTTCCATAGTATTTGTTTTTCCTACTATTGAAGTCAATGGTTTCAGATCTTCAGCTTTCTTCATAATAGGGCTGGTCGATATGGCTATCGTCGATAACTATTTTCCATATTGAATGATAACAATATACATTTCATTATAAGTAGTTAATGCTTCCAGATTTAAAAGAGTTCCCAACAATGACTAAAGCCACAAAGCATACATACACTAACATTTGCGGCCGATAAGTTTTTGGTGGCCAACAATTCGGTGCATCGCTAATATCAACACACTTTTAAATTCCCATTGTTGCACATTTCTGCTGTGTGATCGGCTCTTAGATCAATATAGGGTAAAAAAAAAAAAAATTCCAGCGCTTAACAGTGTTATTGAAATCAATTTTATTGCGATTTGAAAAAATATTGTTTATCAGCCTAGACATACTTCAAAATATCTTCTTTTGTGTTCAGTGTTTTGTGGAAGTAAAGGGTAACAGTGCGTTTACACCGAAAGCGGTGAGAGCGTCCAAGGTCGCTCTGGCCGACCTGGCGACAACGCTGTTCGCCTTCAGCTCCGGCGACGAGAGCATCAAAATTGGCTACGTTGATCTCGTATTTAAAGGAGCCGTTGCAGCATTTCAGTTACATTCCTGCATGAAACATGCTTGCTAGCATAAAAACGTTGCGCACTTCGTATCAAATTCATTTAAGAAATTAAGATCAAGTTGTATGTGGTGTGGCTTTGCTCCACTTAATTATCCAATGTGTCCATATGTCTGAAATATCCTGAAGCAGCAACACTGTTTTGT